AACGGTTAAATCCCATGATTCCTGGTACAATCCCATGAAATCAGCTCCGAAACCCAGCGATTTCGCCTTTCCCAGGGAGATCTTCTCCTTTTGCATCAGAAATGCCGCCACCACGGCCACACTGCAGGAGCGGCCCGGGTGCAGTGCACCAACACCTGCCAGCTCGGAATCTCGAAACTGAAACCAGTCAACCAAACGAATAAACTTGTTATCATATCAATCAAAGCCAAAAAAAATAATTATTCATATTATATCACATTATATGAATTAAAAAAACATATACTTAGGATGGGTGTATCATCTGAATATAATAAGTAATACTGAATAGAAAAAGGGCTCCAAAAATGCTATCTTCATGTCTTTTACTCGGGATACTGATGATTGATCCATGGATGGAAATTATATAATCCAATCAGTTGGTAGGATTCTTAAGCATGATGGTCCCCCGTATATAAAGTTTTTTTAACAACGCCACCCCCACTTCTGCAGCTGTCCTGGTGTATTTCTTCACCAGCCGAATGCCATAAGCCCCAAACTTCTCAAGCACCTTGGTGGTTTTTTTTTCCACATGGGTATGGTGTAACCATTATTAACCAATACCTATAATATATATTTTTTTGTTACCCCGGGGGTGACCCTTTCTACCAACGATGTAAGCACCCCCAGGGCTCCCAACCCAGCCGATGAAAACTCCCAGCAATCCAACGCTCCCGGCAATGCTGAGATGCCCCTGCTGCCACAACCTCCAGCTGTCGGCCCACCTGCGCAACGGCGCTAAACAGACAGAGAGAGAGAGAGAGAAGAGAGAGAAAGAGAGAGAGAAAGCAAGAGAAAGAGAGAGAGAGAAAGAGATATAAAGAAAACGAGAGTGAGTGGTGCATTTACCTCCGTCGTAGGAAAACCATAGGAAACCCATGCGAAACCATGGGAAAACCAGGGGAAAACCATGAGAATTATCATAGTTGATATCACCAAACCGATGATCGTCAACCATAATCATGATGATGGGAGTAAATTGCTAATACCACCAGTAAAATCCCATTTTTATACCATTATTACAACATTGTCGCAATGGTATAGCAATGGGATATCAACGATAATAGGGTAATGGGATAGTAAATATATGGTTGGTATATGGTATATAGTTTATAATAAATAGTATATAATGGGATAGAGTGTATCAAAGGTATATATAAGATATCGTGTAAACATGGCATGGGTAAACATGGTGAGTGCTCATGGAAATTCATAGGGATTGAGGTACAGCTATAACGAAACATGGAGATGTACTGGGAATGAAACATATTCGTCTACTTTCTGGAAATTTGTTACAAAGTTATCATGGAGCACGCCATTTTGCAGAACTGGGAACCTTCTGACATTGATAGATCTTAAACCTTCACACCCCATGAAATAAACACTGACAGCTCAGCATAAAAGGTTCTACCCTGTGTGAACGCAAAGGGTGCGAATAAGGCTGCTTATTCGCGCCCTCGACAGCCTTCATTTTCTGCGCTCATTTCGTAAAATCTTCGATCGCGAAGCATTTCCCTAGACGGTATCTTTTAGTATCATGGTTGATATCCCCTAACCGATCGTCATAAACTATAAGCACGATGATGATGGTGGTAGTACCTGGCGAACCATCGTGATAATAGTAATGATGGAATCATGGGATTATATACCACCGATAATATGATACTCGGCCTCTGGGATAGTGCCATGATATAACATTAAACACATGTTTATTTTCTGGTGTATAGTCTCTATATATCATGGGATAATGGAATTATACATAGTAAAACAATAATGAGTATATATGACTGTCTGATAAATACATAGTCATTAAAATGGGAGTATCATATAATGGGGATGATAATGGGGATCATGTTCTTATCTGGTGGTTTATATTTAGAAACCATACATATATTAGCACATATATATATGTATATATATATATATGCAGGTCATCATGATTTCTTATTGTTATATAAAGGGGGTGCTAGCATTGGGATTACCACATCTATCATAGATAGTATGTGTATATATATATTGTATTATATATCATTTAATCTGTATATATTACATTTCTGAAATATTAGTCGTCATGGTGGTCATAAAACGCTTGGCAGACGTTGAGTAATGCCCTTGACCAGCTTAAGTAAGAATAGTCCTCCGCTGAGCACAGTATTTTTCTGCTGTGTTTGGGTTTGTGCTTGATTATCTCTCTTGACTATGGTCAACAAAGCTACGTTCAATCCTTTCAAGAGATCAATTTCCAAGTTCTAGAAACTCGTTCATAGCCCCTGTCAGTCCGCAGGTTTCCCCAGTGCCAAGCCCCAAGCCATTTGTTCATTTTCCATGATGGTCCGCTTGGTCGTGGAATCCAACTGGTCCTCATGGCAGCTGGTGATCATAGTGCAATATGTGTGTATATATATATATAGATTAGATCTATTCATGTTGGGTCCAAAATGTGTTATATATATATGTATATATGTATATATATATATAAGATCTATTCTGATTTGGGTCCAACAGTTCATTTTTTGCGCTTGTTTTTTCCGGCCCAACTTTATGGTGCGACACGGCGACTATCGAAGCTCCTTGGTTCTCGCTCGAAGCTTCGCTGCCTCAATCTCCACCTTCTTCTCAAAGTCCTGACGTTCTGCGAAAATCAACACCAATAATGTGGGGTAAAACATGGTACCCTCTGGTTATTTACCATAGCCATGGAAAATGGCCCATTTATAGATGGTTTACCTATTAAAAATTGTGATTTTCCATGGCATGTTAAATAACCAAAGGGTAAAACATGGTAAAACAATGAAAGCAATGCCATAAACCATCCATGCCTGGGAATGGTAAACATACCACCTATAAATATGGTGATTTGGGAGATGGTTTATGATTCTTTTACCCACATTAGATTAATTCGTATTAGATTGCATTTCTGAACATGCCAACTTTCACATTAATGTATGAATTGGATTGAATTGGTTGAAACATGCATTTATATAATCGTGTTTATGAACATGATTTGTTTAGCAGTATTATGTGTTTTCCAAGATAAAGGGGTGTATTTTTTTGAAGGTTTCCCTTCAATTCCTACACCGACATTCCTACAACAATGGGAATCCACGAGGTGAAATCGTACTTGAGAAATCCCCAAACAACTTGTGAAATCAGCCAGACCTTGCTGCGCGTTCGCATATCCATGGCTTTCTTTCGGTCAAAGTCGCTCATCTTTCGTTGAAATTCCTGCAATGTGAGCAGAACTGCTGCAAGATTGGTGGAACTAATATGTTGGCAACGCAAAGTATTTTTTTGCAAAACTAGCCATTTTTCTAAAATGGCCACTGTTGTGTCAACTTCAGGGCGTTTTTCGATTACCAGTTCAATCCCAGTATCATGGCCAGCCTTAGCTACATATATGTATATGTATATATATATATCTATACATGTATATATATATAAATATGTATGTATATATGATATTTTATGATATAGTTATATTAATCAACGGTTTTCCGCAAAAAAAAAAAACAACTCATGTGCTCAGATAATGAAAATCAAGATATTCCCCATGGCGCCTCTTTCATGTCGGCCAACTGAAGCCTCCCACCACAAAGGCTTCTTAAAATGTCTTACAGACAAAGACGTAAATCGTCGCGAAACGGCGAAATCATCTGTGATCATCTGTGACTTTACCATTTCCAGGACCAACAGGCGAAATCTACCAAACCTCGCAAAAGTGGTCCAAAATGTCAAGTTCTGAGCCTCACGCGCCACAGAAGAGATCCTTCGCCGATCTTCCGATGCATGCAGCTGAGGAAGGCTCTCAGTTCCTGCAATGTCACAACTCTCGGCACCGCAACAGAACCAATCAGCTAGTTGCAGCTACAAGTAGTTGGTTGCCTAGACTTCTGCTCGCAACAGCTGGTGGAACAAATGCTGGCTGCGTCCTTCACAGAAGCTTCTGTGTAGCACCCAGCAGGGACTTTGAATTCAATGTGATCCATGGCCGGACAAAAAGCGCAAACAACCCTCGCTATTGCGGGTGAAATTTGTCCCAGTGTGCTTGTGCTGCTACTTCTCACACTATCGATCCAAAAGCTGCAAAAGCATGGCACCAGACAGCCTTGATTCGGCAACCAAGCAAGATTGAACCACTGATATAATTATGTTTCTACTCTGGCTTTGTCATGTCAGCCCCTTAGCAGAATTGCACCCATGTATACATAATCAACGCACACCTAACTTTGCAGTGTATAACCATACATATATATATGTATAGATATATATATATATCTTTATATATGCGTGTGTGTGTGTGTGTGCTTCAGGGCCATGGAGAAGCTGATCGCAGGCTCAGCCCAGGGGTCGGCGGCAGGGGGCGGAGCCCCTTAATATATATATATATATAATATATTAAATATTCGGATCTTCTTATTTCATAATTTTGTTTTAACGAACTAACTATATCTTTAATTCTTATTCACCATATTTCTCTGAAAACATGGTGGATTCTTTTTGCAGATCCTTTGAAGGTCTAAATTTTCATTTAAATATCGTATCTGCTTCGCAGAAAATGCACGTTGCGAGTACAAAGCACATAAAGATTTGGATCCAGGTTCAACCAGCTTGCTTTGAGGAACTTGCACTTTCTCTCCCCTGACACTTGAACACTAAAGGCATCAAATCTCATTGAGAATGATCCATACCTCTTTCAAATGATTGAGCCGGATCAATTGCCACCTGCTGCGTCCATTGGCGGCTAAGACAACCTCTTTGAGGAGCCTTCGTTCACTACCGCGGCTGCAGCAGTGGCATTTTTGTACGGCGACGAATTCAAAACTGCTTAGTATGCTTTGTTTCTTCACCTATCCGAATCTATAGAGCATGATAGACCACAGGTGCATATTCCACAAAAACTGACTTTGCATGTCATCGAACCTAAGGCAACGCATGGAGCTTTGGTGCGCAGGAATGAGTTATACGTATATCCATTGGAAAGAAGAAGGGGTCTGCCAAGAAGTTTGGATCATGGAGACCCTGGGACCCTAGGGCACAGAAATTTAGTTCGAAGATGTTCGAAGCAAGTTCTTGAGCAGTTTGCACCGCCCTTTTTCACATGTCTCAGAAATTTTCATGTACACGATCCTGTGACCGTGAGACAACCCATTCAGCAACTCTCCTGGCACAAAATGTGGAGTCCAGCAAAACAGAATTCGTTGACCTTCCGCCTCCTGCCTTGTACATCGTACATCCCTGTACTGTTTCAGTTCTGGAACGTGTCAGCATGATTCGTTCTCAACGAGGTGCATGCCACAGCTTCAAAGAAGACAGTCAACGCTTTCAAAAGACAAGCGCATCTGTCAGAAAACTTGTCTCCTCGGTGAGAAGTCGCACGCATGAATCTTGGGGAAGCGAATAACCAGTTGAATCTGCAGTAGCACAGGCACAGGTATGGGTTTGAAGGTGAGTGAATGGGAGTCCTTCCAAAGGAAATCAAGAATTTATCAACATCTGTCAAACTAGTGTGCTACAAGCCTTCAACACAAACTGCAGATTGGCAAACCCCACCAAATCTGCAAGCACCAAGCAGGGCAACGACTGGTATTTACATACATTTGATCAAAACAACACTGGATGATATCGGCATGATATTGGTGCCATCCAGTGTGCCAATCCTTGCCAATTTCTTGCTTGAAGCCAAAACACGATTGATTTTCCTTTTCTTTTCTGGTTGCGAAATAGCTCGCATATCTCGGATCAGCTCAGTCAAAGTTGGGTTTCGTTTTTTGATTAACAGACACTGACTGTGCGGCAGTCGCTCGCCTTTGTGGACACGTCCAGATCAGATATGGTGACCAAACCCTCAAAGAGACCCGGAAGCTCTTGGCGTTCCCTGCCACAATTTGCGGTTCATCCAGTATGAATATTGTTGAAAATTGTGCGTCCGACTTATTCCACTTTATGTAGGGGATGGAACACCACACATGTCAATCACATCCATAAAAACCATTGCAATCTGCAACCTCCAATCCGGCTATCTTAGAATGTCACTGAAGGTCAGCATGGTCAAAAACTACTTCATCCACATGTTCTTTTTCAATGATTAGAGGACGACATGCAGCAAAACCAGTGAAACACCTGCAAAACTATGACATAAGTTTGGCAGCGTATACAGACTACAGTGCTGTGAAAGTCAACTTGAAGAGTCGCCTTAGCCGCTGAATGTGCTGGCCATTGTGCAACATCAAGTCCAGGTGGATGTCGCCATATGTCTCCTTCAGACACAACAAAGACCCAAACACATGTTGTCAACAACGGTGCCACCTTGATCATATATGTGGATATGTACATATATATATATATAAATGCACATATATATATATATGTACATATATATATATATATATGTACATATATATGTACATATATATATATACACATCATTATTGTATATTACAGTAAACACCACCAATAACAAAACACACCTTGCAAAAGCATCAAAAGTGTCGGGACCTGGAAGAATTCTGGTCATTATTGGCATTCATTGGCTACATCTACATAGAGAAAACATGATCAACAATACATGTAACAGAACGAAATTGTAATTATACATGCAAACGTGAATGCAACGTAATGCAATGTATGTATGTATGTATATATGTATGTCGTATGTATTGCATCTAAAATTATCCATCTATCTACCTACCCAGCTACACAGCTATCTGTCTGTCTATCTGTTGGTCTACTTAGCTACTTTCCATCTGCTTGCGGCTTGCGCCTGGACACTCGCAGAGACTTCGCTTTGCAACGCTTCCTGCATCATCCTTACCTTCAAAAACAGGACAAGGCAAGAGGTGCAGGCTTTTTGAAGGAACAAACACATAAGAAGTCATAAGAAAGGAATGGCCTCGAGAATATTACAAATGGTATGCAAAGGTAGTCTATTTCAATTTTGTACAAACAAATCGGTGAGTGTATAATTGCACTGCTGTGTCCTCCTATTGCCTGGAGCGGTTACTGGCTCATGTCCTTAGCTCTGCTTTTGGTTTCGGACTCGAAATCATGGTGTATTGTCATTGGACTTCATCAACTTCGGGCCTACATATCTCAATATCGCTTTAATGCCATCAAGTGTTGTCCTGATACAATATTCACTAATATTCACTAGCTTCCAAAATGGCGCAATCAACGCATCCACAAATCAGACTGGCTTTCCAAAGCTGCTGGGCCTCTTTGGGAGATCGAAAGTCCTGCAAACACACAGCGATTGAACCCAGCTGGCTTTGATGTCATGCAAGCTGCCGAAGTCAACAGTTTCGCTTGATATCTCAACAAGACTTGGAGCGCAATTCAAGTCTACCGACCGGATGTCCAAATTATCCTGTCTTGCAACGCAAGTGGCCGTTGGAAAGCTACGAAGTGAAACCATGTGTCCTACCATGTACAATGTACAATACTTTCTGCCAATTTATCGAACTTGTTGCTATCCACTTGATCAATGCCAATTCTTTTTGAATGTTTCTGCCATTTCTAATAGAGTACAAAGATACGGCTCAACCCTTGCAAAGCCCTGTGACGACAAAGCTACTATCTTTTTTTGCGCTAGAAAGGCACAGGATGGCATAGGCATAGGCTACATACCAGCAGCCTTTTCATACGTAACTTTGATCAGGTCAGCTTGCAGCATTCGATCGTGAACCTTGGAAGTTTCCGGTATTTTTTCTTGACCCTTTGATGTTGATTCATTGGCTGTAGCGTCACCAAAATCGCAAGCGACATCCCCTTGAAAGCCAGATATGCAACAGGAGATGCCCCCGCACCAGCTGATCCGGTCTGATTGACAATTTCATGACACCATGTGATATTTGCACAATTTGCATATCTAATGCATATATTACAATTATATATCTATATATAATCATATATAAACATAATACATCAAGTTGATTCAGCTTGGGCAGTCCTGAGTTGGACGGAGCCGTTCAGCAAAGAGCCGGGCCATGCTGTCGCTGTCCGTCTCCTGGGCTTCAGCTTTCAAAGGCCGTTTCAGAATTTGTAAACATGAATAAATCCATAGATAAATAAATATATATATACACACACTTATATATATATACACAAACTTTTGTATTGAATGGGAATATTCTTGGAATGGTATGATATGTGCTGCAAAGGTGTTGGAAAGCCAAGATCCTGGAACTCAAAACCGCTTTGTGGCTTCATGTTTTGTAATGCGAATGTCTTGAGAATCAAAATCATCGCCGCCCATCCTGTTTCTTGACAGATGAATATACTGGTGGCATGGCATCACGCGCTGCTTGCAAGGCAACACTCCGATCCTTGGACGATTGTGGCCAGCGGGAGTGCTTAAAGGACTGCCGAGGATGAAACTAACACTGTCCTCTCAAGACATCTTGCCAAATCGTTCATCACCCACACAATTAATAAGCTGAATAATGATTTATGCCTTTCTTTTCAATATAAAACTCCTCGTGGAAAACCTCAGGTGCAACGGTAGATCATATGGAATTCACTCCTCCTATCCTTGCGTCGTGCAACAGTCTCTGTCTCCCTCTCTCCCTTCCTCTGGAATTCAGATCCTGGCAACATGCATTAGGAAGTAGATCTGTCCGACCGGAACCCTGGCGGCAGCGGCACCAAATGAGGGTGTAGCTCGAAGCATGGTGGAGTTCTGATTACAGTATCGCTGTTCTTAGACAGAATGTGAGCAATTTTGCGGTCCTCCTCCGCGTTCGCCCCAGAATGTTGAGCCGATTAAAAGATATTAAAAGCACAATGCTTGATCCATCTGACAAGATTAGATTAGCTTCCTTGCATCTGGCAAAATACATTTTATATCATTTTATCAGAAGCTTCCGCGTGAGAAGGATTCAAACACTGATGGCCTTACAACTCTGAAATTCTTCCCTCATCAAGGAGTGTTATGGTGAGCTTGTGGACTCTTGACTGAAAACAAATCAATCATCACTGGATCATCACAACATCATTACCTCACAATTTACCCTCTGGTAAACTAACATAACTATGGAAAATCACCATTTTTAATGGGAGAATCAACTATAAATGGCCATTTTCAATAGCTATGTTAAATTACCAGAGGGTAGGGCATCCAGTGAATCCAGCAAGGCTGAAGTGAATCCGCCTGAACTTGCAAGGAGCTATGATGGTGACGCCATGGAGCTGTGCCCCGATTTGGACCTTCACAAACCTGCCATTGATTTGTGTGGCAGGCAAGAACCTGTCTTGTCAGACTTGTCATAGTCCGCCCAAATCTGACTATAAACCAGTTGTCTCGCACAGCATTTTCTGTACTTCTTTCTTGCTGAGGATGGCAGCTGGCATATTCATCCGACCCTTGGCAGGGTTTGGCCCACCATATATTATATCACAACATATACATACATATACAACATACATATGCAAACCGAAGCAACAATCCCTGGTCGAGTCCTTACGTCCTCCAGCCCAAAGAATTCACAGGCAGGGCGAGCCCGTACTTCTCCATCATTCGGTCATCAAGGGACCGAACAATCGCCGAGCATTTTCCTGACGTATTGATAAAGTACCTTCTGCACACGCTGCTCCGGTCGAGCAATGGGTGACCTGGGTGGGGTTTTGTGGCTTACGTTGGCTTCAGGTGAGTAAACCCTCAGAATCTTGCCAAGCTGTGGTTTCGCCCTTTCCCTCAGAAGAATCTTCCAGTGGATCACTTGACATTCCACAGCCCACCTCAGCCTTTGTGAACATTAAAACATATAGCTGGTAAATTAAATGGATGTTCATCCCCCACTAAATATTGGAAATTACTTGGTTTTCACCCATACCCAAAGATATCATACCATGTCATATATATATAAACATAGGTAAAAATATATGCATATATATATATATGAATATATGTATACATATATATATATATTAAAAATATATACATATATGAATATATGTATATATATTGTAAATGGCAGCAACTCCAGCTTAAAGAGAATGATGACAACTTCGATACTGATCCAATGCAAACCAATGATAAACCAAATATTCCAAAAGACCAGACTGTGCTGTCCCACCACGCTCTATGCAGCTGTTGTTTTCCAATGCCTGCTGAAAGTGCAAAAGTCCCGGACTGAGAACACCAAGGCTGGCAGGTTTCGGTTCCTTTCCAAAAAGGTTGTTTCAGGCACCCTGGCCTATATGAGTGGACCCTGCCACACGTTGCCCTATGGCTGCAAGGACTTGAGAAACCCACCCAGCCCTCGCCTTAAGCTGCCCTGAGCCAAATGCTCCTTGAGTCACAGCTAAGTGGTGCTTTGGTTGGTGAACCTGGGCATGAGATTGGTTCTGAATGCGAAAATCACATTCCCAAAATTTCTTTTTTTTTTTGAAATTTTGTTCACTGTAAATTGGCGTGGTCATCTGGATTTGTCAGGTTTTGCTGATTGGTATGTTCATCATCGTTGCTGGGATTTGATGTTTTTTGTTTCAGCCATTTTATGCGATCTCTGGTTTTGGCACGTTCCTTCAGCATTGATTGTTCATCACACAAACGGTATGAGCCATGTTTTAAGGTTTCACGAAGAAATCGGGCCTCCATGGCTTTGGTTAAAGCATCTGCTAATTGAGCACCTGTATGAACCCATCGAAGATTGATTCCCTCTCGGAGGGTTTCCTTAATTGCCCTGGCCACCAACTGCACTCGAAACTCTGAGCACTGTGGGGGTGCCGTTCTTGTGATTAAGTCGTGCAAGCTTTTGCAGTCGGTCACTGCAATGTCATCCGCAGTGGGCATTGTGGCAACTGTGATGGCTGGTTCAACTTTCATGAGTGCATCTTCTGGACGATGCCATTGTGTGGCTGGATCATGGAGCCACTTCCAATACAACCTCAACCAACTAAGTTGATCTAGGGCTGACGCCATGGAAATGGTTTCTGCTGAAAGCGTGCTGGTGACAACCTTCTGAATCTTCTTGCTTCCCCAAATGAGTGGACTAATGGGGCATTCAACATTTTGGGAGATATTCTTATGGGTGCCTACAATAATGCTACCGGCATAGGAGTAGGGCTTGGAGCTGGATGCAAAAGAAGCATCAGAGAACACCATAAATCTTAGGTCTTCATGGGGAATAGATTTGATGGTGATGGTGGTGTCATGATATCTCTTTGCCTCATGGAGGAGTCGATTGGCTTCTGCAACGGTTTCCACTTGGGCACTGTTGATCTGTGACTGCAAACTGGAAAGTCTATTAGAAAGGTCTGGCCGTGTATTGGTGGATGCATACTGCAATGAACCGATTAAACCTCTCAAAAGACCCCGTTCTTTTTCATTGATTGGTAGTTCGGGTTGAGTTTTACGATTGACTTCAATTGGTATTGGGGAAATTTTACGAATGTAATTGGATTGACTGAGAGTGATGTTGAAACTGGGATCCTGATTTACTTCAATACCGGTGAAAGTAAAAGAAGTCATTTTCTTGGCTCCAAAAGGGTACTTTTTCTCCAGAAGTTTGATTACATGCTGAAACTTTTGATTTCCTCCGCATATGCCATCATCAACGTGGATGCCTAACACCCCTATGATGGGTCCAGTGGCTGGACTGGTGCCTGCTGGTCTGGGCTGCTCATTGTCAGGCACATATGAGTCTTCACGGAGTACGAAAACGCATGGGTCAAATGGACATGATTCCATTCCTAATCTGGTTAACTCTTGAACGAGAGCACAGTACCATAGGTATGGAGCATCAATTAAGCCATATGCGCCCTTCTGTAGCTTTGCGATCTCATTAGATTTCATGTTTAAAGCATCTCGGAGCTCACTCACAGGGTCAATTAGTATTAGTCTATCTTTTTGAGGTTGGCCTTGTAGAAATGCTGCTTTGATATCAAAGGATTGCAATTGCCAACCATGTGATGCTATTGTTTGTAGAATGACCATACGTGAGGATCTTCCAAGAGTTGGACTGTCCCGTGGAATTTCTTCCAAGTGTGGGTCCAAGTAGCCTAACACTACGATTCTGGCCTTGGCTTTGCATTGCTTGGAATTCTGACTGTCGGCACCTCCATCTGCAACATCAAGTGGCTTCCAGGTCAAAATCCATCTACATCGCAAGATTTGATCAGCTGGTATTTGGTCCCGCATTATTACTGATAAGGTCTCTGTTTTGATCCAATTATTTACTTCAGCCTGCTTGGCAGCTCTGAATTCCTCCTTCTCACTGGGTGTGAGTTCTGACAATCGCACTTCCGTTCTTTGTTTCTTGGCATTGGTTGCTAGGAGAATCCATGCTTCCATGGGGTTTGGTGACTCCTTAGCATATTCATTCGGAATTGATAGGTCATATTCACACCTCCAAGCGAGTGGATGGTCATCGCTACTGGCCAATGCGCATTCTTCTTCCGAACAGGTGAGAAAACTGTCGGCTGGATCTGTCGGAGACTGTGGTGTTGATTCATCGGGACTTTGAGTGATCTCCCTACTTAGGGCTTCAGGTTCTTGGTCCGGCTGTTGTAGAGATTCGCTGGCACTGCTGTCATGTTGATCTTGCTCGGATGCTGTGGTTTGTTGACCACCTGATGGGACTTCCAGTGGAAAGGCGACGATAGGTGTTTCTATGGGTTCATGTTCTGGAATCGATTGCATGGCTTCAGGATTCTGATAGCTACGGTTGATCTGTTGTTGAATTTGTGTCATGTCCTCCGGCAGATCAGGGCCATCAGGCTCTCCTTCTTCTGGGAGTGCCAACCGCACATTTTCTGGAGCACTGCGATAGAGCTTTCCTGCTTGGGTCGTCCATATGGTGTGGGTTTCATCTTGGATGACTACTCTATGGGGACCTATCCAACTTTGTTTTTGGGGACCAGTAGAACGCCAAATCATTACCCACTGACCTTTGCTGTACTGCCCTCTGGATGGACACGACCGGCGAAGCATTGCTCTCCTTAGTGCATCGCTGTTGTCAGCTGTGTGGAAGGCTTTTCTGGCAACTTCTCGGAGCTTGAGTTGGGTCCGAAATTCTTCGGCCGTGTACTCAGCATCTTCCTGGATAGCGGCTGTGTGAGCAGGCAGTGATGCATCACTGAGCACTGATCCTGGAAGGCGACTTTGTTTTCCGAAAACCATGATCTCTGGACTGTACCCATGTTTGATCATCATGCTATTCTTGGCTTGGCAACATTGATTCAACGCTAGTTGAAGTTGTTGATAGCTATTTATGGGTATTTCCAGATCCACCTTTGACAACATGTGCTGTAGGAATCCTCCATGACGTTCTATGGTTCCATTTTGCCAATGAGCTTCTGGTGCAACTGTTGTACATCGAATGGAGAACCGTTGAAGAAACTGTTGAAATTCTTCACTGTTCAATTCGGTACCTGAGTCAACCTTCATTTCTTGTGGAGCTCCTGCCCAGTTCAGCCAGTGCTGATTCAGCAGTGTGATCACATCCTTGGTGGTATGTGATGGGGCAGCAAATGCGGTGTGGAAGTGAGTCCCTGCATCTACAACATGATACAGCTGGAAACTTTGTCCCTGTTGATTAGTCCATTTGATGCCATCAAGATAAATTCGATGATTGAAATCCAACAGAGGCTTCAGTCTTCCAGGTCTTTGATGTTTCGGTCCTGCGCTGTTTGCACATATGGAACACCTGAGCTCCAGTGCGGCCTTCACCATTTCCGGTCTCTGTCCATTGAACTGCAATGCTCGTGCCAGTCTTTCATTTGAGGGGTGGCCTAGGTTCTTATGAATGGTCAACAGTTGGCTTTGTTCCCATTTCGGCAAGGCTTGAAAATAGCTACCCTGGTCATGACGGCGAACTTCACTTGGCAGACATTCTGTTTTGGGTACAGAGTCCGTACTTGTAGTGTCACGTGGTGGATGTTCATCGACATCCTGTGGTGCTTGGTGAATTGGCGGCACTGCTGCTGCGTCAAAATTGGCTGGCATTGGTTGATCGGGGATCGCTATTTCACGGCTGACACTGACTACCGGTGGAGTGCTGGACTGACCTGGAGTCTCCTTTGCTTCAAAGTCTTTGGCAAACACTGTGATGTTAATGCGGCATGGGTGAGCTGGACGAATTAACTGTCGATTCGACAATTCGGACCATTTCTCCCATTCTCTTTCATATTTGATCTCTCCGGATGGCCGGAGAATCATCAGGGTTTTGCGGTATGGTGCAAGGGTGGGCTGAAATTTGTCTGGTGGTGGTAATGTTCTATCAGTGCCTCGGCATGCTACTGCAGTGATAACTTGTCGATCTGGAAAAATGGACTGTAGTTGTTGAAGGATGTTTGAACTCTGGATTTCACGCTTACCAACCCTGGGAAGTACCTGTTGAAGTTCTTGGAACACTTCCTGACACTCCTTCAAGCTAGGTACTGGTCCTTGTTTACCTTCTATTCTTCGACGCTTCACTCCGGTCTCGTCACTTTCCTCCGGAGTTGCCAGCTGGGAACGAGCAAAACGGTCACGGCTGCGGTGCTTGACATGTTTCAGAACCATTCGTTTCTGACTGGCGGCAAGGGCAGGTGTCTCTCCATCTTCGGCATGTTGACACAGTGCCATGCCAGGACGCCAGTGAAATGGCCATTGGTGGTCATTCTTGCTCAGTATCTTGGCAACCAGCCTGACAAACTTTCGGGGATAGATTTCTGAGAACTTGGTTCTAAGGACCGAGTGGCCATGAACACAGGTTGAACCCTCAAGTTGTTGGTGGTTATGATTCTTGCGGCACGTCAAACCATGAAGAGCTCTGAACAAATTTTCATGGGTGGTCACAACTTGCATCCCCTTCTTGATATGGTTATGGTTTACGGGATCCTTTAGGTCTCCGGCTTCACACATGTCAAATTGGCAAACCTGAGTGTGTTGATGAATTTCATTGATTCCTGGGTGTATCAACATAAGTGATCTTTGAGGTTGTTCCCAACTGAAGTGAAGTCCCTTGGATATTTGATACCGGTACAACACGATTCCCAAGGCAATTTGATAACGCAAGTCATTCCTTTTTTGTTGGTATTCCCATTGAGCTTCCATGGACTTACTTGCATTGAGGGCTGACCATGATGACCATGGACCGCAAACGGGGCTGTACCACAAATGCTTGGGACGGTGGCATGCAATGGTACGGAACAATTTCTGGCGACCACTGGTGGTTGACAGATCACCCTGTGCAAGGCCAAATCGGAACGCTTGATGTCCCAGGTTTTGGATCTGCTGAGTCAATGGTGACTCACTGCTGCAAAAGATTTCTCCTACCAAAAAAGGCTGACCCAGGGGCTTGCTTTCCTTTTGGACTTCCTGAAATTCTTTGGTTATCTTATGGATTAATCTTTGCAGATCCTTGACATCATGTTGAACAGTCTGGCAGGCCTCAGCGATCAGTTCATCTTCGGGTTGGCCTAGTCCTTTTGGGTATTCTTCTCGGCCTGCTCCTCCAAGTGCTTGATCACTCGGCCCAGGGCATTTTCCATGTGGAGCATGCGTTCCTGGAGGGCTATGACATTCGGGTCCTGTGCATACGGTGTGGCCTCCGTAGTCCCCTGGTTGTACATCTCGAAGGCTTGTTCCTCTTCGACGTCCAGCGGGAGATCCATGGATGCCCCAGATGGAGCAATGTGCATTGCTTTGGCCTTTGCTCGGATGGATCTGTGTCCAGAAGTCTCGCTGATCACGGTGTAGCTTCCTGCCAGTGACTCGGGTGGTGGAAGGACTGGAACCTGGGCATTCATCTGCTCGTGATGCTCTATCATCAGCTCCACAAATCGGAGAAGGCGTCGATGACTGAGCACCTTGCTGTTTCCGTACTTGGCCACCATGAAATTGATCCAGCTTTGATCTTCCCATGCTTTCTCGTATGAGTCGCCCTGGTGCTTCGATCCGAAGCTCACAACTTCTGACTTCAGGTCGGTCAAAGTCAGATGGGACAGGTCGGGGAGTGGCACTTCCACTTCTGTCTGCAGGGCTTTCAGTCGGCTCAGGAGAGACATGGCTGATCTCCTTCGGGTGATTCGTTCTGATGTTGGGCACTTGAACCGCAGGCTGATGGTGATCTGCCTGAGTGGTGTGATTTTCTTCTAAGGCAAAACTAACCGACCTGTGAACCTGTGCCTCATGACATGTCTCTTTGTTTTCAATCCGTTGCAAAGCTTCGGACATGTTGGCTTTCTGATTGTACACTTCCTCTGACTCGGTGTCGGCTGACGTTTCTTCAGTGTCATGGCTGTCAGTGCGATCGGTAAGAAACGTTGACTCGACATGCTTCGTGTCGGGTTCTTTGGCGGAGTGCTGTCTCATGGCTGCTTTGACAAGATCATTGAGATTGACTAAAAACAGACCTCGTTCGGTGAGTTCCAACGGGATTTCATGATTCAGCACCGGACTGGAAAGGCTGTACTTGGCGCAATCGATTGTGGCCCTAATGGCTCGCATGAAAGTGTTGCTGATGAGGAAAGGTGTCCCTCCTTGGACGATTGCTATCTTCAGCTTTAACTGACCTATGGGTACGACAATGGCTTGGCTGCTGGTGAGTGTACCTTGGTTACCAAACTTAAAGGTCACCTGACATGGGCATCGCGACAACCGGGCACGTGTCTCCTCATCCAGGCTTTGAATTAGGCACTTCACGTGTTCTGATCCTATCACGGTCTTTGACGCACCAAGGTCAAGCACTCCATAGGCATCATGAGTTGCAAAACAAACTGGATTGGTGGGTATACATGGTTGATCTGCAGTGTTATTCACTCTGATGGAACCAGCCTCGTCTGGAACTACTGCTCTGGGCATGACCTTGTCAGTTCTTTGCACGACGGGCACATCATCTACAGACCTGGCTTTCACGGTGTTTCTCAGTTGGACGTCATTTGGACTCGCTTGGCATCCCTCAGTCCTAAGAAGATGGCTGCGCAAACGATCTCGGGCTGTGAACTTCATGGACCCAAAACTAGTACAGTTGTCATGTCTTGATTCTCCCAGAATACGTCCCCGATAACTATACTTGACATGATCATGCATGGGTTCACATGTAAAACAAAACGACAAATTCGGCTTGGGCTCATCTATGGATGTCTCAGGCAAATCAAGGAACTCGAGAGGTAAGCTGCCGCCACTGTTGGTGGTGATCACAGTGGAGGTCGGGGCAGTCGATTGAGCTTCGGTCGAGTTGGCACTTCCCTGATTCTTGAGCGGACATTCGGCCTTCCAATGGCCTCGAACTCCACATAGTCGGCATGTGGATGACATGATACGTTCTTGCAGAGTCTTCTTTGGTCGATTGTCGTGAAATTTTCCCTTACCAGAGGGCTTTCCACCATATCCCTTACCCTTGCCAGTGTAGGGTCTTGCAGGAAAGAACCCCCGATTTCGGAACTTTTCCCCCAGGCGATGACGAGCCTGTTGATATGCTGAAAAGGCTGTGGCCAACTCACTATCCTCCTGCACGGTCTCCTGAGCTGCAGCTTCAAAATCTGCAATCAACAGTGCATCTTGATCTCCTTCTTGAATCAGGACCTCAAGAAATTCCGCCTCAGTGGCATCATCCGGTGGAACTGGGCCAAAGTCTGACTCAGCTACGGCTGCATGATCTGTGACTGTGTCAGTCAGGAGAGTTGTTCCATCGTAGATCTTGGTTCTGGCGGCTTTGCGGCCAGTCATCTCATGAAAGAAGCTTGCACCTAGGACCCTGATTGCCTCATGCACACTTTTCATTGTCAGTTGGCCAGAAACCTCACTGTCCATGATGACACGTTTCTTCTCATCGGCGGTCAGTAAGGATCCCCTCAGCACCACATGGGCTTGAATCTCCTCGATCTTCATTTTTCTTGCTAGCAATCGACTCCACATCACATCTGCTCGGGCCAAGTATGAGTCGTTGGCCTCGTCAGATTTTTGTATCGTGTGATACAAGGCCTGCTCTGCATCCTCGTACTGGCGTTCCAGTGGTATCTTTCCCCACTGACCCCCCAAATGCTCTATCAGCTTTCGAACACATTCTTCGTCTCCTTTGAGAAGCTCAGTCTGATGTATCTGCAGTTTCTGGAATGCCGTGCCTTTGCATCCCAGGATAAGCCGTGTAATCAGTTCCTGTAACTTCCCCTTGGGCCATGCGGCCAACACCAGTTCAACTTTCTGCTGATAAATCAAAAGGTCATCAGTGGACGGGTCAAAGGTCGGCACCAGCGAAGACAATTGGTTGCTCACGCTCGAGCTCCCTGTTTCTGATGCTGATGACATCTCTGTCCCGGATGCCCCCTTTCGGGGGCTCCGCTACCAATGTAAATGGCAGCAACTCCAGCTTAAAGAGAATGATGACAACTTCGATACTGATCCAATGCAAACCAATGATAAACCAAATATTCCAAAAGACCAGACTGTGCTGTCCCACCACGCTCTATGCAGCTGTTGTTTTCCAATGCCTGCTGAAAGTGCAAAAGTCCCGGACTGAGAACACCAAGGCTGGCAGGTTTCGGTTCCTTTCCAAAAAGGTTGTTTCAGGCACCCTGGCCTATATGAGTGGACCCTGCCACACGTTGCCCTATGGCTGCAAGGACTTGAGAAACCCACCCAGCCCTCGCCTTAAGCTGCCCTGAGCCAAATGCTCCTTGAGTCACAGCTAAGTGGTGCTTTGGTTGGTGAACCTGGGCATGAGATTGGTTCTGAATGCGAAAATCACATTCCCATTTTTTTTTTGAAATTTTGTTCACTGTAAATTGGCGTGGTCATCTGGATTTGTCAGGTTTTGCTGATTGGTATGTTCATCATCGTTGCTGGGATTTGATGTTTGTTGTTTCAGCCATTTTATGCGATCTCTGGTTTTGGCACGTTCCTTCAGCATTGATTGTTCATCACACAAACGGTATGAGCCATGTTTTAAGGTTTCACGAAGAAATCGGGCCTCCATGGCTTTGGTTAAAGCATCTGCTAATTGAGCACCTGTATGAACCCATCGAAGATTGATTCCCTCTCGGAGGGTTTCCTTAATTCCCCTGGCCACCAACTGCACTCGAAACTCTGAGCACTGTGGGGGTGCCGTTCTTGTGATTAAGTCGTGCAAGCTTTTGCAGTCGGTCACTGCAATGTCATCCGCAGTGGGCATTGTGGCAACTGTGATGGCTGGTTCAACTTTCATGAGTGCATCTTCTGGACGATGCCATTGTGTGGCTGGATCATGGAGCCACTTCCAATACAACCTCAACCAACTAAGTTGATCTAGGGCTGACGCCATGGAAATGGTTTCTGCTGAAAGCGTGCTGGTGACAACCTTCTGAATCTTCTCGCTTCCCCAAATGAGTGGACTAATGGGGCATTCAACATTTTGGGAGATATTCTTATGGGTGCCTACAATAATGCTACCGGCATAGGAGTAGGGCTTGGAGCTGGATGCAAAAGAAGCATCAGAGAACACCATAAATCTTAGGTCTTCATGGGGAATAGATTTGATGGTGATGGTGGTGTCATGATATCTCTTTGCCTCATGGAGGAGTCGATTGGCTTCTGCAAGGGTTTCCACTTGGGCACTGTTGATCTGTGACTGCAAACTGGAAAGTCTATTAGAAAGGTCTGGCCGTGTATTGGTGGATGCATACTGCAATGAACCGATTAAACCTCTCAAAAGACCCCGTTCTTTTTCATTGATTGGTAGTTCGGGTTGAGTTTTACGATTGACTTCAATTGGTATTGGGGAAATTTTACGAATGTAATTGGATTGACTGAGAGTGATGTTGAAACTGGGATCCTGATTTACTTCAATACCGGTGAAAGTAAAAGAAGTCATTTTCTTGGCTCCAAAAGGGTACTTTTTCTCCAGAAGTTTGATTACATGCTGAAACTTTTGATTTCCTCCGCATATGCCATCATCAACGTGGATGCCTAACACCCCTATGATGGGTCCAGTGGCTGGACTGGTGCCTGCTGGTCTGGGCTGCTCATTGTCAGGCACATATGAGTCTTCACGGAGTACGAAAACGCATGGGTCAAATGGACATGATTCCATTCCTAATCTGGTTAACTCTTGAACGAGAGCACAGTACCATAGGTATGGAGCATCAATTAAGCCATATGCGCCCTTCTGTAGCTTTGCGATCTCATTAGATTTCATGTTTAAAGCATCTCGGAGCTCACTCACAGGGTCAATTAGTATTAGTCTATCTTTTTGAGGTTGGCCTTGTAGAAATGCTGCTTTGATATCAAAGGATTGCAATTGCCAACCATGTGATGCTATTGTTTGTAGAATGACCATACGTGAGGATCTTCCAAGAGTTGGACTGTCCCGTGGAATTTCTTCCAAGTGTGGGTCCAAGTAGCCTAACACTACGATTCTGGCCTTGGCTTTGCATTGCTTGGAATTCTGACTGTCGGCACCTCCATCTGCAACATCAAGTGGCTTCCAGGTCAAAATCCATCTACATCGCAAGATTTGATCAGCTGGTATTTGGTCCCGCATTATTACTGATAAGGTCTCTGTTTTGATCCAATTATTTACTTCAGCCTGCTTGGCAGCTCTGAATTCCTCCTTCTCACTGGGTGTGAGTTCTGACAATCGCACTTCCGTTCTTTGTTTCTTGGCATTGGTTGCTAGGAGAATCCATGCTTCCATGGGGTTTGGTGACTCCTTAGCATATTCATTCGGAATTGATAGGTCATATTCACACCTCCAAGCGAGTGGATGGTCATCGCTACTGGCCAATGCGCATTCTTCTTCCGAACAGGTGAGAAAACTGTCGGCTGGATCTGTCGGAGACTGTGGTGTTGATTCATCGGGACTTTGAGTGATCTCCCTACTTAGGGCTTCAGGTTCTTGGTCCGGCTGTTGTAGAGATTCGCTGGCACTGCTGTCATGTTGATCTTGCTCGGATGCTGTGGTTTGTTGACCACCTGATGGGACTTCCAGTGGAAAGGCGACGATAGGTGTTTCTATGGGTTCATGTTCTGGAATCGATTGCATGGCTTCAGGATTCTGATAGCTACGGTTGATCTGTTGTTGAATTTGTGTCATGTCCTCCGGCAGATCAGGGCCATCAGGCTCTCCTTCTTCTGGGAGTGCCAACCGCACATTTTCTGGAGCACTGCGATAGAGCTTTCCTGCTTGGGTCGTCCATATGGTGTGGGTTTCATCTTGGATGACTACTCTATGGGGACCTATCCAACTTTGTTTTTGGGGACCAGTAGAACGCCAAATCATTACCCACTGACCTTTGCTGTACTGCCCTCTGGATGGACACGACCGGCGAAGCATTGCTCTCCTTAGTGCATCGCTGTTGTCAGCTGTGTGGAAGGCTTTTCTGGCAACTTCTCGGAGCTTGAGTTGGGTCCGAAATTCTTCGGCCGTGTACTCAGCATCTTCCTGGATAGCGGCTGTGTGAGCAGGCAGTGATGCATCACTGAGCACTGATCCTGGAAGGCGACTTTGTTTTCCGAAAACCATGATCTCTGGACTGTACCCATGTTTGATCATCATGCTATTCTTGGCTTGGCAACATTGATTCAACGCTAGTTGAAGTTGTTGATAGCTATTTATGGGTATTTCCAGATCCACCTTTGACAACATGTGCTGTAGGAATCCTCCATGACGTTCTATGGTTCCATTTTGCCAATGAGCTTCTGGTGCAACTGTTGTACATCGAATGGAGAACCGTTGAAGAAACTGTTGAAATTCTTCACTGTTCAATTCGGTACCTGAGTCAACCTTCATTTCTTGTGGAGCTCCTGCCCAGTTCAGCCAGTGCTGATTCAGCAGTGTGATCACATCCTTGGTGGTATGTGATGGGGCAGCAAATGCGGTGTGGAAGTGAGTCCCTGCATCTACAACATGATACAGCTGGAAACTTTGTCCCTGTTGATTAGTCCATTTGATGCCATCAAGATAAATTCGATGATTGAAATCCAACAGAGGCTTCAGTCTTCCAGGTCTTTGATGTTTCGGTCCTGCGCTGTTTGCACATATGGAACACCTGAGCTCCAGTGCGGCCTTCACCATTTCCGGTCTCTGTCCATTGAACTGCAATGCTCGTGCCAGTCTTTCATTTGAGGGGTGGCCTAGGTTCTTATGAATGGTCAACAGTTGGCTTTGTTCCCATTTCGGCAAGGCTTGAAAATAGCTACCCTGGTCATGACGGCGAACTTCACTTGGCAGACATTCTGTTTTGGGTACAGAGTCCGTACTTGTAGTGTCACGTGGTGGATGTTCATCGACATCCTGTGGTGCTTGGTGAATTGGCGGCACTGCTGCTGCGTCAAAATTGGCTGGCATTGGTTGATCGGGGATCGCTATTTCACGGCTGACACTGACTACCGGTGGAGTGCTGGACTGACCTGGAGTCTCCTTTGCTTCAAAGTCTTTGGCAAACACTGTGATGTTAATGCGGCATGGGTGAGCTGGACGAATTAACTGTCGATTCGACAATTCGGACCATTTCTCCCATTCTCTTTCATATTTGATCTCTCCGGATGGCCGGAGAATCATCAGGGTTTTGCGGTATGGTGCAAGGGTGGGCTGAAATTTGTCTGGTGGTGGTAATGTTCTATCAGTGCCTCGGCATGCTACTGCAGTGATAACTTGTCGATCTGGAAAAATGGACTGTAGTTGTTGAAGGATGTTTGAACTCTGGATTTCACGCTTACCAACCCTGGGAAGTACCTGTTGAAGTTCTTGGAACACTTCCTGACACTCCTTCAAGCTAGGTACTGGTCCTTGTTTACCTTCTATTCTTCGACGCTTCACTCCGGTCTCGTCACTTTCCTCCGGAGTTGCCAGCTGGGAACGAGCAAAACGGTCACGGCTGCGGTGCTTGACATGTTTCAGAACCATTCGTTTCTGACTGGCGGCAAGGGCAGGTGTCTCTCCATCTTCGGCATGTTGACACAGTGCCATGCCAGGACGCCAGTGAAATGGCCATTGGTGGTCATTCTTGCTCAGTATCTTGGCAACCAGCCTGACAAACTTTCGGGGATAGATTTCTGAGAACTTGGTTCTAAGGACCGAGTGGCCATGAACACAGGTTGAACCCTCAAGTTGTTGGTGGTTATGATTCTTGCGGCACGTCAAACCATGAAGAGCTCTGAACAAATTTTCATGGGTGGTCACAACTTGCATCCCCTTCTTGATATGGTTATGGTTTACGGGATCCTTTAGGTCTCCGGCTTCACACATGTCAAATTGGCAAACCTGAGTGTGTTGATGAATTTCATTGATTCCTGGGTGTATCAACATAAGTGATCTTTGAGGTTGTTCCCAACTGAAGTGAAGTCCCTTGGATATTTGATACCGGTACAACACGATTCCCAAGGCAATTTGATAACGCAAGTCATTCCTTTTTTGTTGGTATTCCCATTGAGCTTCCATGGACTTACTTGCATTGAGGGCTGACCATGATGACCATGGACCGCAAACGGGGCTGTACCACAAATGCTTGGGACGGTGGCATGCAATGGTACGGAACAATTTCTGGCGACCACTGGTGGTTGACAGATCACCCTGTGCAAGGCCAAATCGGAACGCTTGATGTCCCAGGTTTTGGATCTGCTGAGTCAATGGTGACTCACTGCTGCAAAAGATTTCTCCTACCAAAAAAGGCTGACCCAGGGGCTTGCTTTCCTTTTGGACTTCCTGAAATTCTTTGGTTATCTTATGGATTAATCTTTGCAGATCCTTGACATCATGTTGAACAGTCTGGCAGGCCTCAGCGATCAGTTCATCTTCGGGTTGGCCTAGTCCTTTTGGGTATTCTTCTCGGCCTGCTCCTCCAAGTGCTTGATCACTCGGCCCAGGGCATTTTCCATGTGGAGCATGCGTTCCTGGAGGGCTATGACATTCGGGTCCTGTGCATACGGTGTGGCCTCCGTAGTCCCCTGGTTGTACATCTCGAAGGCTTGTTCCTCTTCGACGTCCAGCGGGAGATCCATGGATGCCCCAGATGGAGCAATGTGCATTGCTTTGGCCTTTGCTCGGATGGATCTGTGTCCAGAAGTCTCGCTGATCACGGTGTAGCTTCCTGCCAGTGACTCGGGTGGTGGAAGGACTGGAACCTGGGCATTCATCTGCTCGTGATGCTCTATCATCAGCTCCACAAATCGGAGAAGGCGTCGATGACTGAGCACCTTGCTGTTTCCGTACTTGGCCACCATGAAATTGATCCAGCTTTGATCTTCCCATGCTTTCTCGTATGAGTCGCCCTGGTGCTTCGATCCGAAGCTCACAACTTCTGACTTCAGGTCGGTCAAAGTCAGATGGGACAGGTCGGGGAGTGGCACTTCCACTTCTGTCTGCAGGGCTTTCAGTCGGCTCAGGAGAGACATGGCTGATCTCCTTCGGGTGATTCGTTCTGATGTTGGGCACTTGAACCGCAGGCTGATGGTGATCTGCCTGAGTGGTGTGATTTTCTTCTAAGGCAAAACTAACCGACCTGTGAACCTGTGCCTCATGACATGTCTCTTTGTTTTCAATCCGTTGCAAAGCTTCGGACATGTTGGCTTTCTGATTGTACACTTCCTCTGACTCGGTGTCGGCTGACGTTTCTTCAGTGTCATGGCTGTCAGTGCGATCGGTAAGAAACGTTGACTCGACATGCTTCGTGTCGGGTTCTTTGGCGGAGTGCTGTCTCATGGCTGCTTTGACAAGATCATTGAGATTGACTAAAAACAGACCTCGTTCGGTGAGTTCCAACGGGATTTCATGATTCAGCACCGGACTGGAAAGGCTGTACTTGGCGCAATCGATTGTGGCCCTAATGGCTCGCATGAAAGTGTTGCTGATGAGGAAAGGTGTCCCTCCTTGGACGATTGCTATCTTCAGCTTTAACTGACCTATGGGTACGACAATGGCTTGGCTGCTGGTGAGTGTACCTTGGTTACCAAACTTAAAGGTCACCTGACATGGGCATCGCGACAACCGGGCACGTGTCTCCTCATCCAGGCTTTGAATTAGGCACTTCACGTGTTCTGATCCTATCACGGTCTTTGACGCACCAAGGTCAAGCACTCCATAGGCATCATGAGTTGCAAAACAAACTGGATTGGTGGGTATACATGGTTGATCTGCAGTGTTATTCACTCTGATGGAACCAGCCTCGTCTGGAACTACTGCTCTGGGCATGACCTTGTCAGTTCTTTGCACGACGGGCACATCATCTACAGACCTGGCTTTCACGGTGTTTCTCAGTTGGACGTCATTTGGACTCGCTTGGCATCCCTCAGTCCTAAGAAGATGGCTGCGCAAACGATCTCGGGCTGTGAACTTCATGGACCCAAAACTAGTACAGTTGTCATGTCTTGATTCTCCCAGAATACGTCCCCGATAACTATACTTGACATGATCATGCATGGGTTCACATGTAAAACAAAACGACAAATTCGGCTTGGGCTCATCTATGGATGTCTCAGGCAAATCAAGGAACTCGAGAGGTAAGCTGCCGCCACTGTTGGTGGTGATCACAGTGGAGGTCGGGGCAGTCGATTGAGCTTCGGTCGAGTTGGCACTTCCCTGATTCTTGAGCGGACATTCGGCCTTCCAATGGCCTCGAACTCCACATAGTCGGCATGTGGATGACATGATACGTTCTTGCAGAGTCTTCTTTGGTCGATTGTCGTGAAATTTTCCCTTACCAGAGGGCTTTCCACCATATCCCTTACCCTTGCCAGTGTAGGGTCTTGCAGGAAAGAACCCCCGATTTCGGAACTTTTCCCCCAGGCGATGACGAGCCTGTTGATATGCTGAAAAGGCTGTGGCCAACTCACTATCCTCCTGCACGGTCTCCTGAGCTGCAGCTTCAAAATCTGCAATCAACAGTGCATCTTGATCTCCTTCTTGAATCAGGACCTCAAGAAATTCCGCCTCAGTGGCATCATCCGGTGGAACTGGGCCAAAGTCTGACTCAGCTACGGCTGCATGATCTGTGACTGTGTCAGTCAGGAGAGTTGTTCCATCGTAGATCTTGGTTCTGGCGGCTTTGCGGCCAGTCATCTCATGAAAGAAGCTTGCACCTAGGACCCTGATTGCCTCATGCACACTTTTCATTGTCAGTTGGCCAGAAACCTCACTGTCCATGATGACACGTTTCTTCTCATCGGCGGTCAGTAAGGATCCCCTCAGCACCACATGGGCTTGAATCTCCTCGATCTTCATTTTTCTTGCTAGCAATCGACTCCACATCACATCTGCTCGGGCCAAGTATGAGTCGTTGGCCTCGTCAGATTTTTGTATCGTGTGATACAAGGCCTGCTCTGCATCCTCGTACTGGCGTTCCAGTGGTATCTTTCCCCACTGACCCCCCAAATGCTCTATCAGCTTTCGAACACATTCTTCGTCTCCTTTGAGAAGCTCAGTCTGATGTATCTGCAGTTTCTGGAATGCCGTGCCTTTGCATCCCAGGATAAGCCGTGTAATCAGTTCCTGTAACTTCCCCTTGGGCCATGCGGCCAACACCAGTTCAACTTTCTGCTGATAAATCAAAAGGTCATCAGTGGACGGGTCAAGGGTCGGCACCAGCGAAGACAATTGGTTGCTCACGCTCGAGCTCTCTGTTTCTGATGCTGATGACATCTCTGTCCCGGATGCCCCCTTTCGGGGGCTCCGCTACCAATGTAAATGGCAGCAACTCCAGCTTAAAGAGAATGATGACAACTTCGATACTGATCCAATGCAAACCAATGATAAACCAAATATTCCAAAAGACCAGACTGTGCTGTCCCACCACGCTCTATGCAGCTGTTGTTTTCCAATGCCTGCTGAAAGTGCAAAAGTCCCGGACTGAGAACACCAAGGCTGGCAGGTTTCGGTTCCTTTCCAAAAAGGTTGTTTCAGGCACCCTGGCCTATATGAGTGGACCCTGCCACACGTTGCCCTATGGCTGCAAGGACTTGAGAAACCCACCCAGCCCTCGCCTTAAGCTGCCCTGAGCCAAATGCTCCTTGAGTCACAGCTAAGTGGTGCTTTGGTTGGTGAACCTGGGCATGAGATTGGTTCTGAATGCGAAAATCACAATATATATATATATGAATATATGTATATGTATATATATATATACATATGTAAATATGTAAATATGTATATATGTATATATGTATATATACATATATACATATATGTAAATATGTGTATATATGTATAAATGCGTATAGGTGTATAGATGCGTGTATATATATATAGATATTTACATATGTATGTATGTATATATGTATATATGTAAATATATATATATGTAAATGTGTATATATATATGTATATATATATATGTATATATGTATATATATATTATATATATATGAATATATGTATATATATATGAATATATGTATGTATATATATATATACATATGTAAATATGTAAATATGTATATATGTATATATGTATATATGTATATATACATATATGTAAATATGTGTATATATGTATAAATGCGTATAGGTGTATAGATGCGTGTATATATATATATAGATATTTACATATGTATGTATGTATGTATATATGTATATATGTATACATGTATATATGTATATATGTATCTCTGTATATATGTATATATGTAAATATATATATATATGTAAATGTGTATATATATATATATGTATATATATGTATATGTATATATATATATGTATATATATATGTATATATATACATATATATATATGTATATATATGTATATTAATATTGTTATTGGGTCTAATTGGAATGCTTCTATGCTCCATTTCCTCGGCCTCCCAAGATTCCCAAACCAAAAGGGCACCGCAGGAGGCTTGGCTGAACTTCCCTGGGAGACCCCAAAAGGCTTGCGGAGAACCTCAGCGCTCTGGTTTTCGACTGGGATGCACAAGCGCATAAGGACTGATATGGGTCATGTAGGTTATATATAAATATGGCATTATATGGCTGTATGGGATTCTGTAGTCAATGTTTTTCTTGATGATAGTTGTACCATTAAGTTCCTCAAGTTGTCACACAATCATCAACTGCCTTTCCAACCATGCATGTTCGACATCAAGAACTTTCCACGCATGTTGCTTGGATTTGTCAGTCCATGTAAATCCTGAAAGTCACCTTCTCTTCTCTCTACTGTGCGACTGAGGCCCAAGCTTCAACTCATAGTAGTGTCGAGGTAAAGGAAGTTTCACGCGCACCTTGGAACATCTTGAAAGGCTAGCTTGGCCTGCAACATCCTTGCTCTTCGTGTTCGTGTTCTTGGTGCTCTTGCTCAAACTTGGCTTTTCAGGTCCAAAGCCTCTGAGATCTCTGAGGTACCAGCCAAGAAAATGTGGTCTCTCAACTTGATACAATGACAGGCTCGCTCTACCTCCGTTGCTTCAACGTGCATATCTTGCATCTGCAGTCCTTCTGGTACAAATCCAAAGACCCTCTGACACATCACATCTACCTACATCACCTACAACCTCGACTTCTTTGATAAATCATAGCAGCTTTCAAACACATGCTCGCCTTGGTGGCAAACAGCGGTAGAAGTCAGTCAGCCAGGTAATTCCATTTCTACCAAGCTATTCTCATTCAAGGAACGCAGGGCTCCAGCTGCTATACTCTGCACCAGGGTCATACTGTAAATGAGTAGCACTATATCCAGTCGGAATCTTTCAAGTCGGCACGGGTTGCAAACTTTGCATCGGTGATGCGCTTGTAGAATGGAGTGTGCCCGTAACAATCCCAGACCATTTACCACCTGATCCAGCTTGCATTTTGACAGGTAGGAGACCAACTACTCCTTACGTCCATTCTGCAAAGAACAAACCATGCGATTGGATGCACTTGGTATAAACCTGCATACAGCATCAGGATGCCATACCGTATCATTCCCATTGTTGTCGATTTTCCCCCAGAACCATCATAAATCATCATCAATATCTCAATCAACATACTGTACAGATCTGTACAGAACCATATCCAACATTACCCAACTCTGTTTAACACCATTTTTCTTTTTGGCCTCGGTGAACTCTCCGTCAAACCTGAAGCCGTGTTTTGACGGCACTGTGGAAAGGGAACTCGTTGGTCTTTATCAAAATCAAAAAAAAAAAAAACAACACCTGTCAGGACATTTCTGCGAAATATTATAAACGTATTTCTGAACATCTTGTGATCTTGGGCGCGCAGTGTCTACCTTCGCCAACGCAATGCTGGTGGTGTGCCCTTGGCGCCTCTTTACCATAAGCGTTGCCCAAAGGGAAGCTGCATAACACCGGAGCGTCAGGACCAGGTCGTTACTGGCAGCGCTTTCAAATACAAACCAGCAGCTATCTGAAAACAAACGGATCAAGTAGCATCCACACACTACAAACTTGCAAAGGCGGAGTAGCACATGCGAGAGAAATCTTTCATATCTTTCATCGATTCATCAACTGCATGATGCAAGACTCAGCTACATAAAGGACCTCTACATCCTGAGAGTAGTGAGCAAAGCAGGCATGGGATATGCAGAGGTCTGCTCGCCGCAGTCGCTGTTGCTTCCACTCTTGAGACCGGCAACTCTGGCCCCGTCAAAAGCCTGCCCTATCCTGCCCTGCCTGTCGACGGTAATTTCACGACCCAAATGAGACAACGGCTCGATTTGACTCTGGTCCCTCGGCTGATGTAAGTGGACCTCACCTGTAACCTGCAGAGGTACTATGAAAATTATGAAATACTGACATGCAACTAATATCAACTAATATCAACTAATATCAACTAATAACATCTAATAATCAACTAATAACATCTAATAACGTCCTTCAAAAAAAACAATCGCAGGCATTGAGAGGGGAATGATGGGGAATGGATGTGAAGGGGAAAGCAGGAGGGAACAAGGAGGAGGCAGTAAACAACAGAAACTCCAAGACCCCCAAGGTTAAATCTCAAGCATCGTCGAAAGAAGTAGAAAATCAACTGACTCCCAAATGAATCTCACTGATACATAGCTCCGCGATCCAACATCCCTTCCCTGATCAGCTGCTCTGAGGATCTCACTGCACTGACGCTTCCTGCTGCCAAACATCATTTCAGATTCCAAAGGACTTCCAGGTCTAGTCTGCTAATGTCTGCTAATGTCTGCTATGTTTCAGTCAATGCATGTTTTCGTATTGGCGGCCACACCTAAAGGTGCCTCAAAGCCTACGGAGATCCGTGCTTCGGTCCCTAGAGTCCAGACCCTGTTAAACTTGGGGACCCCGAAGTTACCGTTTCTATCCGTTTCTCATATTTCTCCTGCCCCTCAAACACATGTTAACTAACACATACTAACAGTTACTAACACGATCTTCCCAAGTGCAAACTCAGTAACTCTGAGCGGTGACAGCTCCTTCAATCCTCCACAGGTCCACAGCGGCTCTGCTTGGTGCACCAGGTGTCGAAAGTTGGCTGCCTGGTGGTGAACACCTCTTTGGTTATGGAACTCAATTTCTGTGCGTCATTCAGTGATTTATGATAATTTTGGGACCTCTGTATGAGAACTATTGGTTTGAAGAACCAGAACTGATTTTGCCAAATTCTGCCGAATTCTGCTTTGACCTCTGAGTCCTTGATCCAATCACTTGGACCAAGGTGATGCCTCTCTACAACGTGGGGCAAGCATTGTTGGTGCATCTACCTGTAGTTTTGAAGAGCCTCTGCCAGCAATGCATGGTCACCATCCTTCCTGGAGAGGGTGTGCAAAACAGCACAATAGGCGCAGACTAAATGACATGGGTTGTATCATCTTGTATTCACGTTCATATAGCGGGAAACTAACTCTTTTGGAAGAACTAATACACTGCAGTGTTTGACCATATTGTTTGCTCTACACACATCACATATCATGCCACCAACTCCAATGCATCTCATCCTGTACACTTTCTGGAGTGCCTGGTAGATGGTGGACCTGCCACGAAATTCTGTGTCATGCCTGGTCATACCGTCATAGCTGATCATGTCTTTGTGATTCTTTGTGGTGTTTCTTATCTGGTCTATATAAAACTCTGATGTGATCTTGATTGGTTTCATGCACTTTTCATAGTCTCCTCCGAAACGTCATGAACTCATGGAAGATCGCAAGCTGTTCGTGGTCCCCTCGAAGACCTTCGAGTCTCGAAAGCTGACGGCTTCGAGTCGGAACGCAACAAGGACTTGATTGGAAGTGCTCTCCAGCATTAATTACTTTTGCAACTTGCATGTATTCTAATGTATTCACATAGTAATTGTAGGATATTGTAGGAATGTCCTTGCCTACAGCAGGATTCAGAAAGTGGTTCTGATTGTCTTTTTACCATTTCCTTCTTTCATTTAAGCAGGGTTCGCATTCAGCAGCTGGCCATGGAACTGAACAGAACTGAACCCTGACCCCTTTGCTGTCCGATTGTGCGTCTAAATCTTCAGTTAGAGATAATTTGTGGTACCCCCAAACCAGTTCTCTATGGGCAGAATCCGTCCCTGCCTGAGATCTCTACCTGGTCAGAATGACACAGCGGGTACCAACAACGCAGCAGAGTCAGCATACTGATCCTGGCATTTTTTCACACTTGAACCTATTTTGGCATGGCGAAAGTCACATGGCAGTCTGACCTAATTCTTGACACTGGGCATCTGACAGTCTTTGCAATTTTCCAATTTTCATCATATTTCATCATGCAGCGTCATCAACTTTCCATCTAGGACCCATCCCAATTTGTTTATGTCACCAAATCGGCCTCAAGTTGAAGTCCAGGGTGTGCATGTCCTAGATCTGGCCTCAATCGGATCACTTCAACATCCAAAGTTGACACATGGGAAAAAAACTGCGTACAGTGGAGGAACTCAGCGGGAAGGCGCGACATGGTGGGACTATGATGGACTATGCAATTGGAAGTCCTGTCAATTTCTTTCTGTTGGGATTCCGCCGTCAAATCTTGTCTACTTCATACTTGGACCATATTTCCTTTGTATGAAATGTGAATGCAAGCATGGTCCAAAAAGAACACAGCCATAGCAAAAGAGTGGATCCATCAGAACGTGCCCTGAGAGATACCGACCAAAAAATGACGCAGAAGGATTCTCCGTTGCAGTCCACTGCCATGTGTTTCACACTCACCTGAAACACAAGGACAACTTCATTCAATGTTGTTAAATGCTGCAAATCAGTGGAAACAGTGGAAACAAATAGTTCCGGAATGTCACCAAATCGTAAACTGTTTCCGTGTGACTTTTTCCCTTCGGCCTCTTGCAAGCGAACCGGCTCTTCGGAGCCATCATGCCTCTGGAAACCATGGTACCATGCTGTACCATGGTAACTGTCATGGCATGTGTCCTACAGGTCCTACAGCTACCCTGATGTCCTTGGCCCCGGGTCTAGCTGTTGCTCGTGCTCAAAGCATGCTTTGCTCATGGGACGCTGAAGATTTTTGAAGTGGCTCCAGTCAAAGCCCGGAATGAAATACGCACAATCTCGCACAATGCTCAAAATCCATCAAATCCTTGCCAGGGTCCTTTTTGAGCTAGCAGTATAGCCAGTTTAGCAGTATTTTATTGGTTGCTTTGGCGCTATCACATGGCTCCGTCTTGACCATCCAACTTCGTGCCTTTCGATACGAACATGAAAGACCCGGACAGCAGTGGATGACCTAAGATCAATCCGTAAATCAGTGGATCGATCAGGCTTGGTCATTACAATGTGAATCTGTGATGATGTTAGTCATGTGTGCCTAAGCCATGCTAATGCTTTCAATTTTCCCATCACAGGAAGGGCCCCAGCAATTGTGTACACATGCTCAAAAAACACATAGGAATACCGTTGACGGCAAATCTATGTCTCACCGTGCCTACTCGTTCATAGCTTTTCAAAGGGGCGCCCAAACAGTCGATCGCCTTCACAACCAATATGTATCTAGACTTCATGAGTCTCGCAAAAACTTTGGATATCACTGATATCACTTACCCTTCTGATTCATGCCTGGTGTGGCAAGGACTCACTGGGATCATTCTGACGCATGCCATCAGTCTTGGTTGAACACGTTGGCTGAAAGCGCAGTGCATCTGGTATTACCTGATGCATCGAACGTGCTGAAACAACAAAGTTGTGTCCGGTCAACTCTCTGCTCGGTGTTTCACTGATAGAGACTTGAGAGCATCCTGGGGTGCTTCATTGTGTACATTTGAGCGGTTTGGGGGACCTAAGCTTCACCAAATCAAATATTGAGAGTTGAAACTTGGCCTTGCTCTCTTTTTCATTTACTAATCGATGTCAACAGAAGGGCACAGCATAGCAATGCATTTGCGCCATGTTCATGGTGGACATCTCTGAGGCAAACACTGTCCACGGCATGTTTGGGCCTGTCCGATATCGGTGTAGAGCATGATTGAAAACTGTGTGAGTGCCCTACTTGCAGACTTACAGTACCAATCCGGGATTCAATAGCTAAATAGCTATATAAATCAATTAATTAATCAAATAAAGAAATAATTATATACGTAGCAAACATAGTAAATATAGTAAATATGGTAAATATACGTAGTGAATATAGTCCATAAACAAACACATGACTATAGTAAATAAACAAATGAATAAATATAATGTATGTATACAATACATTTATACTATTGTAAGTTGTAAGCTTGAAGTTCAGAGTCGAGCAATATGTCCGTCTCATCGTGGTCTATGCAATTGCAGCGCTCTTATTTGAAGCTATCCCTAGCCAGATTCTCACCGTTCCCTCCCACATACACCATCTTGGTAGGTTGACCCTGGAGATGCCTTCCATCAAAGATAGAGGCACGAAACCGGCCGGAGGGTAGCAAACCTCAGAGGATTTTGATTTAATGATGGGACGCCTCCGTGATTGTCAGCCAACAACCAAGCAGGTCGACAGCTCAATACCTTCAAAATGAAAACACATGCACATTGTCATCATTCCTGCAGCAATCACGGAGATTGAGACGATACATCCGACAATTCCCTAGACTCCTAGACTTTACCAAGTGCTGGGCTGCGTGGACACCCGCTGCCTGGAGAAGAGGATGATAAGTATTGACTATTGACATCGACGCCAACAGGAATGCGACGGCATAGACAAATCCGTGGCGCTCACGTCAATGCTCTTCCCATTGAGCAACATCAAGCAATATCTTGGAAGTCATATGGGTATGGGTCAATACCTATACATACCATTTTTAGTGGGATGAACATCCATTTACCAGCTATTTTGATGTTCACCAGGGGTACAAGGTTTTGCCACACTGCCATATCAATGCAATAGAATCAATAGAACATTGCAAATGGCACACTGCGAGTCTTCCACGCAGCAGCATGAAGCGTGCAGAACAGGTCAACTCACCCGCCTGCAGTGTGGTAGATTCGCCTGTCACAGCGACCAGTAAACAGCAGGCTGTATGGCTTTGAATCACACTCAGTTTGAACACTAAAATGCGAACTACACAAGAACGGTCTGCTTCTTATCCATGACAGAGGTCTGCTTGGCGATTTTGGTGTCAAAATAAAGAAACTCAAAATTTCGATTTTCCATGTAATGGCAAAGTGATCTGGAAAAATGACAGAGAAACATAGAGAAACTGTGTTGCCACGCGTTGCCCATGATTTGCTTCCCCGTTTCCCCAAGCTCTGGTTTAGCTCCTTTCATCTCCCATTTCGTGCAATGAATCCACGCTGCACATTGGAAGCCCTTGCCTTGGACATCTTCCCATTTCTCCTAAGGCTGCTGAATAGTGCTGGGGATTCGGACACAGAAGGGTACCACCTCAAAATAATCCAACATCCGTAACATGTATTAACATGTGACATAGAAAACTGGGAGTTTGGATGTGAAAAGATTCTTTATCGTTAAACAGAAGTGCAACAACAGCGAGTCATTTCCAGAATCGTTTTTAGCTAGTACAGAATTCGGAGCAATGCAGTCTTCGCACCGTGCAAGTGATTTCACCGACGCTTGGACTTGCATATCTTGCATAAATCTCAAAAAAAACAATAAATATTATCTCAATCATTCTCAATGCATAGGTGTGATTGTGATCCCGTGATACGTCACATGTACCAAGAGATTGCATCTGAGCCCCACTCCGAGCATCCATCTGGCCCCAACCACAGGACGCAGGTGTCATCAGAACGGGCCTCAGTGCTGACATCAACCTGCCCAGCTTGAATTGTGTGCCAAGCAGACAGCGGTTGTGCCACCCTGCCAGTCATTTATCATTGTTTGATATCGTTTGGCCATCATTTGGAGTGCTGGTTCCAATTCCCATCATTATTTTTCCAATTGCAGGTCTGCTCGAGCGCGCACACACACAACAGTGCCCCATATCGTACTAGTGTAGAGTCAGTTGCATTTGCAGTTTCTATTAAGAACGCGTTTACAAACAGGGTGAACAAATGAAAAGCACATCGTTTACAACTTGGCCAACACATCAAACATGCGTCGTTATTGTGACAACAGCTGCCCCAACTGGACTGGGACTGAATCCCACAACCAAGCGCCAGGCAGCTGCGAAACTTTGCAACTTTGGACTCAACAAAGCACGTCTGGATGTCAGAAAACCTGCCCGCAGTCCGGAATGCAAGACAGGGGGAGGAGGACAAGAACAGGTGCGAGATGGTGCCGGGTAGGTGGGCAAGGTACATGCCAATGGACAGTGCATCCAAGAGGTAGAGTTGCTGACCCTCTGGGTGACCCACTACCAGCCTCAAACGCATTTCACCTGCTTTCACCTGCAAGTTAAGATAGTTGAGGGATTCCTGACTTCCAAGATCTTCCATCTCCACCGTCAAGCGCCTTTTCGATCTCCCCAAATCGCGTGAAGACCAAACAGCTTGGCCTTGAACAGCACGCAGGCTACCAATATCTGTGCTTCAGGTGACATGGTATGACGATGTGCAACCAGTTCTACAGCTCGGAATGAAGACTTTCTTTGCTTTGGCTCACCCGATTTTGATCACTACCAGTACAGCAGTCAAACCCTTCTCCTGGACACATCTTCCAATTTTTGGGTCAGACTTGCATCATTTAAGGACCCTGAATAGACTGATTTGAAATGACATCACTGCATTGCGTCTGACAGTCGCAAATATTGGTCAATCATGGGCAAACTATTTCACTCAAGCCAGTTCTCTCACTACCCTTGAGCTGCGATTATAAACTTTACAATGTACATTTCGAATCATTTTCACACATTTCGCTTAGATTTCATTTGTCATTGGCTTTGGATCTCCAACTTCTCCAGCTACAGTACACGCCCTGACACAAGGAGCCAAATCCCATCAGCCCAGTCGACGCCAGGCCTGGTTGGGAGGCCTCACATGGTCAGGTGGAACACTTATTTTTTGTGTCAATGTCAGTCACAGATTTTGCAATCTCAATGCACTATGTTCCAAGGAAAACTCTTGAGGGTCGGCTTAAAAAAAACCTGCGACCCTCGATTTGGCAACCTTCAAGTGTCCATTTCCACACACCACCTGTCAGAAATCCATTCATTCTATAATCTTCTGGAGAGATGGACACTTTTTGGAGTTGTTTGGAGCTTCCTTGTTCGTCTGAGGATCATGTTGATATATATGTTGATCATTCTTGAAGGCACACAGTCAAAAAAATGTCAAAAATCCAAGAGACTCCACAGGACGTCGAGGAGTTGCCTCAGTGTTTCTGGATACGACAGCAACGGCTGGCGCCAGGGTTGAAATGTTACGGTTTGACACATGATAGAAACGAGGTGCGGTTCTACCCTCAAGAACACAATCCCTCACCTTTTTGCTCACCCTTGGTGTTTTGAGAATTCTTTGACAGAACACCCCCCCCCCACCACTAGTCACTAGACATCCACGTAGATCTGCTATGTGTCAAGCAACTTTCGATTTCGATCTTCTCCCAGTTTTTGGGGCCTTAGCTGCCATCCAGATTATGCTCAAACTCAGGCACAGAGCAAGGCACAGGGTCTGTCTACAAACACAAGTTCAATGTTGCTCTTGGCACAGGCACCAACCCACGATCACAACCTTTCATCATGAAACCCACACAGGGTTGGTCAGGAAGCAGGCTTGAGCCTTTTTTTTTTTACATGGACCTATTCAACTTCAAAGATTCACTTGTATACATTTATAATCATTATATATCTTATATTTTCCCCATGAAATGAGCGAAGCAAAGATGGACTGTGCTACAGCTGTCAGAGTGTAAACAAAAAGACATGTTCTGTTTATCTAAATATGATTAAATATGACTATGTAAAATTATGTAAATATCTCTCCATTGGCATAGCAGGATCCTCCACAAAGCACACATGACTCACATGACCAAATGCAGGCGACTGGCTGGACAGGCTGGATCCAAGTGCCAGAACACCTGGAGGAATCAAGGGTGGGCTGCCGCAATCCTCTAGAGCTGTAAAGCACATGTCTGAAATATTCTGAAATACTGTTTCAATCTGTTTCAAATGGGCTGTAGTGGTCATAAAACAGCTACGAAAGCCTCCATATCTGGAAAATCACAGCACACCACACTTTTTTCACCTTTTCACTTCAACATCATGTGATTAAAGTGCACATGCTTTCTCTGTGAATAGTGCAGGCTGAAATGGCTGAAAACTCTTTTTTGATTCGAAGGTACCAACAAATCACCAAGATGTTGGAAGACCTTCTGAGACTCCGAATTGAATTGCAAGATCCAAAACAAAGTCTAGGGGATGGCCCTTTCAGCACAGTCTTCCGCAGTTGCCTCGTCAGCGCCGAAAGGCCCTGAACATCCCTGAACCATCCAACAACCTGCCTTCAAGTGGCTTAAGGCTTGTGGAAACTCCTGTGCTGAAACCGCTGAAGCGCTTTGCTTCTCACAAGGTGTTGCTTTGATGCGTTGTGGCGTTGTGAGATGTGGTGTCGCTGTTTGTCAAGGCTCAAAGGATGCTGAACTGTAGACATGGCAAAAACACAACAAATCCAAGGTTAATTGCAGATTATCTGAATCTGACCAAATAGCTGTTTAATATCAGTGTATACAGCCGTGCAATCTCTAAACATCACGTCATTGGCAAAAGACTGCCTCCTCCGCTCGACTGGTGTCACCACTTATGAGCCTCTGCTGGCCATGTATGTGACAAGAACAAGAATCAAGCTTGGGCAGCACTGGTGATTTTATGTGATTTGCTTCTCTCACAGCGAAGGGAGTGGCGTCATAGGCTGTTGAGGGGCCCCAACTAAACATCATCTCTCTGTCCTATGACGAACATTGTTTGGCAACCCGAGTTGCCACTATTATATAAATTATACAACCCACAAGGCAACCCCGTCCCCACATATTATATGATATTTGTATAGATGACAAGTATAACATATGATTCGATAATATATGTAAATATACTGGATACAGAATATTGAGGAACCAAGAGTAATTGTATGATATTGTATGATTGTCTGTACATACCACACATATTGCCTGATCAAGCTATAAAACCTTTCACCAACCACTCTACCCTCCTGTCCAGCAAATCCACCACACCGGTTGAATGCCGAACCAAGTCATCTCTGGCGGAGTTGGAATGGCCGTAGGTACCTCTGAGGCAAACTTCATCGAAATTCAGACCATGTGTCGCAGGTCTGTGTCTACCTACCATTACTTAATATTACTTACCTATCCACACAAGTCCACAGGAAAGCGCACTCTATCAGATGGCTTCGCATACTGTGAGCATTGGAGCAAATCAAACGAGGCTCAATGTCAAGCGTCTGCCATTGAACAATCTGCGGACGATGAACTCATGCGCACGTATGGAACTCCTGCGCATATGTGCTGTGCAACTTCAACTGCCTGGAAGCAAGTCAGAAACGCAGAACCGCCAAAGACTGCCACAGGATCCTCAAATACCTTTCCCATCCTTTCCCAGGTTCCAAATCATTTGCAGCTCCAAAGCAATCTTCACATCAGTTTTAAAAAGTTTTGGGGAATTCTCAGTCTTTCTATGTCTTTCTGGCTTGTTACTGTTGCCTCATGGGTCTCCCCAAGGTCGGGATGACAAAGGTGTAAAGCTCCAAAGCCATCTTCCAGCGCAGACACCTGAGCTGGAGACTTGTAGGATCTTGCAGGACCACGGAAAGCACGTGTTTTTTCCTCTTTTTTCTAACCGTGTATTCGTAGAATTTGATGCATTGCTAGGCCATATGATGAATATCAATGAATGATAAACGCTGCAGAGACTTCTGCAATGAAAATACACCAATTTTATCTACTGGTTAACAAATCCAACCAAATTCCAATGGATTTCTTTCTTTTAACCTTCCTTGGATGAGGCCACTGCCAGTGAACCTTCTCCCTGAAGAATCAACCTTGCCAACGTGGCGGAGCCTGCGCTCCCAATTTTTGCCGTCAGGTCTTTCCAATTGTGGGATGCACGCAACATCACAATCTTCAGATTTCACGCTAATAGCGTGAATGAATCATATTTTCAAAACTATCTTAAAAGTTCTAAAACCTGCCAGTGTATATTTTTACTTTCTTGACTCCGAAAAACAGAAGGCACTGAACACATCTCCAAAGTGCTGTTGTTGAACAAACTTTGTCCGAATCATGAATTCCCTTGTCTCTGAATGAAGCAAGCTAGTTGAGGCCCGGACACAGAGTTTTTCAGTTCATTCAGCTCCTCCGTTTTGAGAGAAAATACCCGAGAACATCGGGATCACGGCATGCACACAGGACATACCTAGAAAGCCTGTACACACACACAAGGTTTCAGTACATTCACGGCCAACACCGATGTACGTAACACTGACTACACGATTACTACCTGGGCTCCTCATTCACAATATAGACATCTGGAATCATCTGGAAACGAATACTTGATCAGTTGATCAGGGTTAGCATGAGGACCATTCTGGAAATCCAAAGACTCAGAGCGGCGCACGGTACAGATCGGTTTTTTTGTACGCACCAACGTCCGATCCTTTGTCAGTCTTCGTCAGTCTTCGTCCTTGCTAAATCCCTAAATCCACTCTAAAGCATCAACAGTGGACACTTAACTTACTTAACTTCAACATGGTCGGAAAAGGTCGGAAAGGTAGATTGTTTGCGATTCTTTTCTGATGACCATTCACTTCCCCGAAACCAAACAGAAAGCAGGACCTGCGCCACCTGCAAAGAAGGTACTGCAAACCTCAGTGCGGTTCATGCAACAATTTCTGACCAGTGAATGTCTTTCTGAACAGCTGGGCTTCCTGCTAAAGGATGCTTTAGGCCCTTTAGGCCAATTGTTCTTTGCAACACGTTTTCAAGAACTCGTGGACTCATCCGTGAGATTTTGGTCCATATCTATGCAGCCCAGGTACCGCAAGGCTGCTGAGGACCTTGCTCACAAGGATCTCACAGATAGCATCGGTTGCGAAAGGTTTGGGAACAATTGGCATCTCTTGTTTTATCTCGTCTCTCGGATCTCAAACAACATCAAGCAATGCACAAAAGGACTCATTCTCAGCCAAGATAGCATCTGAGGCTTTGGGGCGTACAGTGTCTTGGCTGAAGCATCCAAGAACGGGACGTCAGAAAGGTCATAAATAAAATTAAATAAATACACCCCTTTTCTGTGCCGCTGAACTTTCACCAACATAACACATCATAAAACACGGATTGTTGAGATCATGGCTTTGGTTTTGGCGATGCCTTTGGCTTGGGCTTTGCATCGTCAGACCTACAAGCGGAAGTTCCAAGTGATTTCTTGAGGCCGTGCGAATTAATTCTAAGTGATACCGAGCACCATACATTACTCTAGACACTGTGTAAAGCTAAAAGATCGTAAAACCATGCCACATTGATGCCGAAAAAATGCCGATTGTGCAACAAATCTCGTAAGCCATCCGACCCCAACAATTGGAATCTTGTTGCAGTGTATGGGTTTATGGGAAAACCCCAATCCCACCTTAGAGAGCTTCACAATTTCAAACTATCGCATATTAATGCAAATGAATTCAATTACATCCAGATCGCAGGATCACATCATATCACATTCCCAACCCCATGATGCTCTGGACCTTTGCTTCGCTGCTTTGATGCTACGTGGCAGCAAAGCCTGGCAGAAACGCATTAAGTCTTAATTAAGTGCTCCGGGCTTGAACTATGGGTGCCAACAAGGTCCAGGTTGATGGACCAAAGTTGGTCCTCTACATCAACAGCTATCAATTAATATTGCATATAATTATGGGATTGTGGGATAATTATGGGACAATGACTTTCAATTGGTTAATCCCAAGATTATAATATATATATAATTGAACATAATTTCACCATTTGGATGTGCACCCAAGGTCACAGCCTGACATAAAATGCTACATGCCAGCTGCTTTGAAGGACTCGGCTGCACCTGTCAGTGGATCAATCGAGGGGAACCACTTGCGAGTGTGCCGTTGCTCAAAATTCAACCACGACCCAAATTACGATCGTAAGACAATACTTCGAATTTGGCCATACGAAGCATACATACATACATGACATGACATGCCATGCCATGACATGCCATCACATAACATTGCATAGCATTACATTTCATTAAAATGCATCACACTGCATACATACATAGTTGAATATAAATACACAAATATAATACAAATATAAACATATAATAACATATAAACATATGCAACTATGTGTGGTTGAAAGGCTTGACATTTGTCCAGTGTCTCAACGCACACTTGACATTTCGTGCCTTGGGAAGTCCACACAAGCGTCGCACAAAGTTCAGGTAGTTGAGGCTTGCAGTGATTTCCTGCCCCATGGAACCAGGAGTTCAAGCTGCTCTACTGGAGCAAGCTTTGCAGCCACAAAGCAGATTGCACCAAATCCATACAAATCCGTACAAATCCCAGCATCTTGAATCTGATATTTTTTACATTTTGCAATCTGTCTTTCATCACTTTCATCTGATTCGTAATGCACTATGAGTCCATCTGCCCCAGTCTATGCTTATGTGAAGCTGCAGCCAAGCCACGGCTGAATGCGCAGCTGTTTCCAAGCTTTCCTGCAACAGCAATGATTTCCGGTAAGTTTGAACTGCATTGATAATCAAAATATCAAAGAACATACAGTTCAATAGCCACTCTTGAGAGATCAGCAATTAACATGTGCAATTCAATAATTTAATCAGTTCTGAACACTCGTAGCGTCTTTTCCATGCATACTTTTATGAAACTGACTTGCGTAAGGATGATGCTGATGACTTATCATCGTTGACACTCTTCTAAATCTATTTTGCCTCTGCACTGGCACCTGTATTTACATTATCTACTAATCTCTTGGTGTTTCAAGGATTGCATTTAAACATCCAGCATAGCCAAGAACGGACCACAATGCTGTTCAACTAAGTCCAATTTCGTTCTGATCAACTATGGATGTGCCCACAGCCAGGTCCATTTATAATATTTATAAAGGATGATCGAAAGTGGTACCGGTATTCGAACAAATCAGAGTCCCCGCGCCCGGGAATCAGTTCCCAGAATGTCAGACCTAAGTGGATGAAGCAAGAAATGGGTATGGATCAATACCTATTAATACCATCTTTAGGGGGATGAACATCCATTTACCAGCTATTTTGATGTTCACCAGGGGTACAAGGTTTTGACACACTGCCAAATTGCCTTTCACGGCAACATGACACCTTGCAGTGGCCTAGCTCTCTCTGTTTTAATGCAAAGCTTCTGCATGAGTTAGGCATAAGGTTGTCTCCACCCTCGACGCCGAGTCAAACAGAGGATATCAGGCTACAGAAAGCCCGCTTGTCACCACTGCTCAAGAAAAACGGCTCCTAGTTTTTTTCTTTCAATGTTTACATCTTTCATGTCTGAGTTTCAGGCTCACGTATTCCGCTCGTAATCTGTGCATCCTGCGCAGGAAAGATGTTGGGGGAGCCGTTAAAATCTTAAGCAAACCCTCAGTGAATGCCTCAACAATCTTTCAACACTTCAAACCTTTTGCACATTTACACATACAACATCATCTAACATCCACATGTAAAATCATCTGTGCCTTTCACTTGATTGTACTCCGCTTTTGTTGTAGCAGCTTCGCCCGTGTTGACCAACGTCTTTCCAGTCTTTGCAGTACAGCATCATGACCGTCGTGACCCTTCGGCTTTCCAATCTTTTGGCTTTTGCGATTCTTCGGGTACTCTTCAGCCATGGATTCGTGGCCCACAGTTCCGAAACCAACGAGGTTTGTTTTGGAAAAACACTCACTTTTACACCGCCGCAAACAGCCGGCAAAAACACGTTTGTTTCAACATGTTTCAACCCATGGCAGCCTCCCACAAAGTCTGTAGTATTGTTGCCTGTGCTGCAAAGAATCATTCCAGAATCAATGGATAAACATGAACTCACACTTTGGGTGCAGGAGCGCACAAGTCAGTGCTGACTTTGAAAGCCGAGATTATATAAACTAGTTGGTTACCAAATTTGCGATTGACAGACTGCAATCAGGCAACCTTCTCCTTGCAGAGGGCAAGGGTATCTGGCTGTCACCATCGAAGATTTCTATCATTAAGATTCATTAAGTACATTTAAATAGCAATTTCAAGAAGCTCCATGAGAGGCAAGCATTCCTCGCCACACATGATGAATCTGCCTCATGATCAATGATGCGTATTTCACGCACTTCCTAATGAGTAGAGATACTCATAGATACTTTATCTATCTTTATCTTGCATTTCCTGATCGATTTTCAAACCATCTCGAGGCATGAACCAGAAAGCTCGAATGGCATATTACCCTCTGGTAATTTAACGTAGCTATGGAAAATCACCATTTTTAATGGGACAATCCGCTATAAATGGCCATTTTCAATAGCTATGTTAAATTACCAGAGGGTAGGTCCTAACATGTCCCAGGCTGTAACTATTCGGCTTGATCCCAGCTGTTTTTATGTTCGCCCACCTGGCGGTTGATCTCCGGCTCAGGCCTCAAGGGACGACCAAAAAACAAAACAACAAAGGCGGGCTGGAAATCAAAGCGCGCTGGCGTCCAGAGGCCCGGATTCGGTATACACAGTATACATATATATATATATATGTATGTATATATATATATGTATATATATATATGTATATATGTATATATATATATATATGTATATATATATATATGTATATATATATATATACACACATATCAAATATCATCAAATCACATCAAACATGTGAAAATGTCGAAAAACACGTCAAAAGACACACCTGCCAGAAACAGGCTGCATTTTGGGGCTCGCAAGGTCTCAGATACTGTTGTACTCGTACTGTTGTCTACGTATGTGTTTCTTAAAATAGATGAATGTGTATCATGGATATCATAACCGCTACATCAAACCCGCTACCCAATCTGTGACTTCTCTAGCTGCGTGGCTCTTCCAACTCCGGCAACCTGAAGGAATGTGTTGCCGGGCTGATGCCCAAATGCATCCAAAGGAGGGACCCAAAACAATTTGCGAGGATGTTGCCATTTCCACATGTCAATCAAGTCATAATGCTGTGTGGACAGACTTGCCACAAAATGAGGACATGTAAGATGTCTTCAACTACAAGACTCTAACTGCTTAACTCAAAGTATTCAAAGCAAGGTTTTCTGCGAGGCTTTGTGGGCACGGTCTTAGCTGCAGGTTTTGTTTCAGCTACACATTCCTGGTTCTAACTCTCAGCATACGTTGTGGGCATCAAACCTTTGGCAAAAGTGCTTTTAGCCTGGGTGGAGCTATTAGTTCTCTGAGTGCCACATCAGTCACATGCTCTGGGATCATCACACATTCCACTTGCAGGCTTCTGCCTGTGCTTCCTGGCGAGGCAAAAATGGCAAAATAGAATCGAATTGAAGGGAGATGAAGGGAGTATGACATGACGAGGTTGCCAGCTAATCGCAGTGACCTTCAATACAAAGAGGACACCTCACTTAGAAACAGCGAGTGTAGCAGATCTGCAACCCTCCTTGCCTTGATCTCCTCTATGCTCCATCGAAAGCTTCGTCTCACGCTGTCCTGCCGCACCTGTCATTGCAAGCTGTTCGAAAATAGGCTTTGCAGAAACACGACAATACAGCACCATACAGCACCTATTTTGCTTCTTTGCTTCAAACATTCCAGGGACAAATGCCCATGCTTGCAATGTAGCTGTGGCTGTTGGATGCTGCTGGATGCTGTCTCGGCTGGCCTGGGATGGGGTTGGCGGTGTTGCAAAAGATCGCTCCTGGCTTCACATGGCGACCCTTGATTTCGGCGCACCTTTCGCAGCCCCATACTCCGGTCACCCCAAAGATAAGTTCTTCTCCAACTTGTCGGAGCATTTCCAAATTTGACACTCCCAACAGCGGAACCTACCTGATGACTTACTGATAACTGACAACTAAGATTAAGTAAAATATGTGAAACACAGTAAAATTGACTAGTCTTGCCAAGCACTTTGCCGTGTCCACCCACCCAAAGGTAATATGACCGAACCCCAACGAGACTAGCGCTCTCTCAATAGTTGCCTCCCAGATTCCATTCTGAAATTCCAGCCTGCTCCTTTGGCAAGGGTGTCCATGCCTGCTGTGCCAGTCTTCGATTGAGCAAAATGCATAGCAAGTTGCAAATGTGAGATGCGAATGCAAGATGACTCAACAAGTTTAAATGTTAAAATAAAGTTTAAATGTAACCCCCCTAGAAACATAGATAGTTCGCCCTGTGGTCAGCCAAAGTCCCTCCAAAGCTCCTTCCCGCATGCACACATTCTGCTGACGGCCTGCTCATCGATTGGAGTTGCTGTTGGAGTCTTGAGTGGGCTCGCCTGACATCCCGTGAGCCCCCGACGAAAAACCATGGCTGACCTGTGCTGCCTCAAAATCGGTCCTGAATTTAGATGAACATGAAACATGCTCGTTTAAATTCATTTGATCCATTTTGAATCATTTTGATATTTTCGATCCATTTTGATCCCGTGTCCAATCGTGACTGCATCAATGCTGCGCAGGCAACTGAGGCATGCTCAGCATGCGGGAAAAGCGTACCTTAGTCCAGGACGAACCGGGACGAACCGGGAAACCCTTTCCCTACCGGTGAAAATGAGCTGCTAATTGCTTGCTGCATGCCTCCGCTACGTTCCGTAAAGAGTCCTTCAATATACAACGTCCAAAACGAAGCCTAGACACCATCGGCTGTCGGCAAGCGGAACTCAGGATCTCCAGTGGCCTTCAACTCCTATGACAGCGAAGCACTCAAATGACCAGCGTTTGAGCAAATGGCAACCTGAACTGAACGAACAACATGTTTGGATAATTTTAGATACATCTAGATACATTCTATGATATTATACATACATTTAGGATCATTTGCCTTCATTCTGTAGGGAGAGGGTCTTAAAGAAGGGCATCTTAGAGTGATTAGAATGATTAGAGAGCTCTGCATGCTGCAAACAATTAGAGTACAAGTATCACACATCGACAGCAACCATTGCAGGAGGAAACCAATCTACTTCCAACAGTGTGATTATGCAAAGACGTTGCGGAAAAACCTGGCCTCAACTCTGAAGAAAACTGCTGCGTGAACACAACACTTCATCTTGGAAATAGTTTGATCATGTAGAAAAAAATGTAGAAGCATGATTATATAATAGAATATCCTTGTTGTATGGCAAAGATCACCTTTGAGCCACGAGATCAGGAACTTTTCGGTTCAGCTATCCTGTAGGGCTCGCTCTCCATCGTCCCTCTCCAATGGTGGAGGAGGTGCCTCTGCGATTGTCTTGACAAGCTACGCACGCTACATAGTGCGGTTGGTTGAACAAATCCTGGCAGATCCTGTTGATGGAAACCTCAAGTCAAACATGGCAAAAAGAACCACGCATACACATACAGTATAAACAATATTAAACAATCATAAACAGACTCGATATCTCTCAATATAGCTCGATAGGATCCGATAGGACTCAATCGTCTCAATCACCAAGCTTTTAGGTTTTGGTGTCCCATCCGTCATCCAGATGCTGGCCTTGCGCTCTCTCATGAGACCTTTGAGTATACCATCCCTGTCACATCTGTCACCGAAACGCTCGGGTTTGAACGGCAGAATTCGACAAATCTCAAGGCAGTCCTCTAAAATAAGGCTGGCACTTTAGCAACTGCCCCTTCAGATCCCTTCAGTAATTGTAATCAAAAGAGATGATCTTGATCATACAGACTGTCCAAAAATGTCCGACTCTTTGCACATCACTCAGATGTTGACCACTTCCAATTGCAACGTCTCTGGCAACGGTAAAGTGATGTAAAGTGTACAGCGGCAGAACTTGCTCCAAAGATTTGCGTTTCTTGGCCTCCTTGTCTCCCGAGCACTCAGCAAAACCACTAGACCTTGCAAATGGGAAAATGACTTCGCAGCTGCTCTAAAGTGACAAACGTAAAAAGTAAAAAGGTTTGTTTTGCTCACTCCACCTCAACCTCTACCTCTATCCCTATCCCTGTCCATCTGTGCACTGAGTAACAAATCTATCGATCAATCTCTCACCCCTGCTCTTTTCGCCCTCTTGTTTCTTTCCCCCTCTCTTGCTCTCTGCAATATCATGTCACACGACAGTATTTCGTTACTTCCTTCAAGATCTTGGTGCAAGGGGCATCTACTCTTCTGGAAGCTGTTCATCCTATGACGGGTTTGCCTAGATCAGTTCTGCGCGTGTCATGAATCATGAGATCATGTTGTTCATCACTTCGAGGGTTTTAGGAATCATGCAAGTCTTTGAAAGTGGTGGGAGAATCACAAGACAAACTGAATAAGTCTTGCACTAGAAGATGCAGTATCTGTGAGTCTCAACGACCCCAGATTTGCCAGTCGTCTTGCAGAGAGCGCTGGTGTGGTCGGCAATGTGAACTGTTCAGCTTTGCGATTCGGTGGTTTCAACCTGGCGACCGCTTGGCTGTTCAAAACCTACGCCCTACGAGTAGACTCCAACAGCACGTTCGCATTCTTGCAAAAATCCATCCCAATGCTCTATCAAGGCAAGCGCGCATGAGGAACTTGGAGTCCAACAAACTAGGGAGGTGAAAGACTGGAACAATTGCATTGAAGGGAAGTTACGCAGTTGATCGCAGTTGTATTCTTGAACAGGAAGTCCTTCATCTCTTTGATTTCCCGGTCACTATTTCCGGCGTTGCTGTACCTCTTGGCTGCGCTCTCTTGAGACACCAAGACCTGCGCAAACATGCAGCACGTTTCAACGGAGGTTTGCACTTGTGACTGCAGTTCCGAGTTGTTCATACATCACATTTCAATCCTTCTGCTACAATAATCCAAGCTATTTATTGCCCAACCTTAGCGCTTTAGTTGATTCTTTTGTACAAGCCCCAAAGACCACGGGTTTTGAGCTTTGACTTTATGTCCCTATGGTCTATGGTATCATATAGTTCATACGTGTCTTGGCTGTGCCATGCCTTGTGGCTCAAATGGGAGGTCGGCCCTGTTCGTGGCAAGGCCAACAATGTGTCTGGCAAATTCCTGGCGTGTGAATTCTCCACGACCAAAGTCTGGAACTTCAATTTCCACATAGCCAGGTCCCATGGGTGTACCAGGTATCTTCTGGTCAACGCCTACAGCTTTGACATGCTTTGACTATATATGTATATAATTGTACATATATGTATATATATATACATAATTATATAATAATATACATAATTATATAATAATAATAATAATCATAATAATAATAATAAAAATAATAATAATGATAATATATATATATATGTATACTCGCACTGTGAGCGGGTGCGTCACTGACATTTTTACTTCATCTCTACCAGCAAAGTCATGCAAACGGTCAATTCATCGTTGGACATCCTTGATTTCTACATTCATACACGAAAGTGTACAATCATCTATTTTGGTATAATATACACAAGGCATATTACACACCACTGCACTGCTAGGTATATATGCCACATGATGTTCTATGTACTTATGAACACATACCGTATTCTTTTATTATGATATGATATATATGTTATATCTATAGAATGTTTTTCGTCGAAGTGAATAGAGGTTGAAAAGATTTGAAGAGTTCGTGTCCCACCAACATTTGCAGTTCTGAGAGCCCCAACGGGAAAGCCAGTCGCGGCCGTGCGCTAGTCACGTCGGTAGAACGCCTATGACGCTGGGGCCAGTCATGCTGGTGACAGTTGCAGTGTCAACCATCTGGTTCCAGTTAGGGCCTGGGAGTCATCCCCAAACCTACCACAAATCCACAATAGCACACATAGCACACGAGATCAATAGATGTCACTAGGTCACTAGGACAGTGATGATGCTAGTTTTTGTGGACCATACACGTTTTAAGTGCTGTTGGGTGTCAGCCTGAAGAGTGACCTCTCTGAAGAGTTGAACGCATCTAATTTGTGCTGCTGCATTTCCCTATCGTTGAACGGCATTCCCTTCCCTATCGTTGAACGGCATTTCAGTGCGACTACAAAGAGATGCCGAAACAATGCATCCACCTATCAGACCTATCATCCTTCCTTATAGAAATGCAACATGTTGGCCAAGAGCGAATGCCGTGCCTGTCAGCTTTTACTTCCATTCGCTTCTAGCTTTGCATCAGCCTCGGCGGCGAGGCTGAAATGTAGGGCTTCTGTCTGTGTTCCTCTCCCACGCCTCCAAGCCAATTGGCATTGGGATTCAGCTGGAAGTGCCATGATGGTCTAAAATGGTCTAAAGACTTCATACCATTTCATACCCATAGCTCTAAGGCTTTGAGGGAAGCGGTGAGTTGCAGTGACCATGGTGACGGTAGTAGTACGGTAGTGATCAAATACATCCAAATACTACTCCTTGTTACGTCCTTGCAATCTTAGAAGTTTTGTTCATACCACCGCATGCCGGGTGTATGATCTATGATCTAAAACAGCTGCGGGAGGGCGCGTGCAGCGCAAAGCTGTGTCAAGCACCCAAAGTTGTCGAGCTCTTCTTGAGGGTTGGGACTTGAAAGCTAAAAAGAGATCCAATAAATGGAGAGAAACAAATGAAACAAATACCATGAGTTGCATGGACCATCATGGACCCTTAGCTGGCGAGCAAGTATCCAAGCTTTGGTGCTGGGCTAGCTTCCAATACATTCATTTTGCCCATTGACTCATGCACTGCCAAACTTCGGTTGGATCTCAACTTTACCATTCTTCACATTTCTTCCGGGCTCGAAGTGCCCTGTAAATAGCTGGCATGGTGTCACCGTGTCACTGTGCTGGCTTGCGTGCAATATGATGACCCCGGCCTTGAGAAGGCTTTTTTGAACGTTCAAACCATCGACAACAATGTGCACCAAGAACAACGCACTGGCAAAGATTCTGCCGGCAAGGTCCTGCTTGAGAATCAACAAATTGCCAATACATCTCCATTCTGCCCTTGAATCATCGTGAATCTATCTGTTCTGTTGAGTGTTTGGTAGAAAGATCTTTCCAGCGAACGTGATGTAAGCTTGGCCTCCATCACTGATCATGCAAGCAACTTGGTACGACCTAGTCAGCATTCTGCCTGGGGATGTTGTGTCAGAAGGCTCTGTAGCAGGCTACCAGCAGCCAATAACGCCTTCCGGCACCAACATGTTTTCATGCCGGTTGAGCCATACGCTTATCCATACTAAATATACTAAGCGTTCTGGGGAAAAGATTGAAATCTATCTCTTGTTTTTTTTTACTTTCAAGACTTTCAGAGCTTTCATAGAGCTTTCTTTGCTGGTAGCCCTAGTCAGACCCATCGCGCCCTTAGGACGACGTGTGGGCATCCTGAAACTGCCATGGCTGTGCGACGACTGGAAACATGATCAGGCCCAAGGCCGGATCGCATTGCCGTGTGCACCAACCATTGACCCCCCGCAGAGTTGTAGCTTCCGTAGATATCTGATGAATATCTGATGATTGTGTGGTGTTCTGAATGTGTTCTGAATGTGTTCTGTCTCTTTGGATCTTCTTTGTTCCTTCGTTTTTCTCTTTCGCAAATTGTTCTTGTTCCAAAGAACTTCTTCGAGAACGCTGGCACTCAAAACATCTCCAAACTCTCTTGCGCAGGTGGCTTCCTATGGCTGAAACTCTGCGGCTGGTTTTGACATCACCAAGTTGCGGAGCGACTGTACAGAATGCAAAATGCCACATTTCTTTTGGACATGCATGTGGGTGACGTTTTTGGAGTGACGACCATCTCGAAGTGATGAACATGTATGAACTGAGACAGTCGTAGGCTATGGTTTTGCCAGAATTTATATATGGAGTTGTCCTAAATCTTCTGCTCAGTTTTCAGAGATGTTACTTTGTGATGTGTGGATTCGAACACTGCGAACGGCCTTCAACAAGGCTCACGGCCCATGCCATTTACAGTAGAGACATGTAGAGACATTTTTCACACACACATGCACAGACGGAGTGCCCGTTGGATGTCCGCATATCACACATCAAACAAACATTTTTTTTCAGAACGGTACAAACTTGAACAAATTGAACCCTAGCCATTGTGGCGAAAGTGCCTCCCTCAAAAAAACAAGCATGTCCAATCTGTGGGACATCCTCCAGCCTTCCCTGGAATGAACGGTTGCCTGATAGCTTATGGAGCTTCCAGAGAAGGATGAAGCATTCATTGTGCTAAAGACGTTCCGTGGGGAAAAGAACATGGAAGGCCATGTTGTATTCCATCTACAGCTGTTCACATGACAGTTTGTGAGGTGCAAATGTGGTACGGCTCCAAAAATACTTTGATGTTTCTATGATGCCTGGTGAAAACTCCATACTGGATTCATCCGAAAAAAGGAACACCTTCATGACTAGTGGAACAGATCCATTCTGGAGACACACATATAATATCATATAATACTGTATGTATATACTGTATATATATATATATGATTATATATATATATATATATTCATCATGCGGCACATGATATCACATGAAGTGCCTACAAAGAAGTGACACATCGCAACAAAAACAGCTTGAACATGCCAAGTAGGCAAGGATGTCAGCTATGGTAAGTTCAAGCAATGGTAGTGGAGCCAGGGCAGTCAGGTTCATTCTGCCAAGTAAAAAGATTAAAAAGGGTGAGCATGGCATAGCAGCGCATAGCATGGCCATCCAAATTTAGGCCCTTCTCCCCAGTCGTTTCGGCTAAACAAGAGGGCGTGGCCACGGCCCGGCCTTGGTTCAGGTGCCGTAGGATCCCCTGCGTGCCTCAAGGTACAGATTCTGAGCGAAGCAAGCAGCAAATGCTGCAAGATCTGAAAGTCAACAGGAACTTAGCTACTGTGATGATGGAATCTAGCTTCAACGTGTCTCAGCACGGCGCCTCAAAAGTTCTAGAAGTGACTGCAATGATTGCATCGACAGAATACATTGAAAGCAACCAACTTCTCCAGGTATCTATATATTTTCAAAAGGACACGCAAACGCAAACACACAGCACACCCAAACGTGAAGCAGTGATGCCTTGGAAACATTGGAAACTGCCAGCCTACAGTTGACAACTATTGTCTGTACTTTCTCAACGAGTCTCCAAAGTGCTGCTAGGCCACTCCCGATTCTCTGACGCCCTCATAGCTGCTTGTGCGCCATTGAAGACGGCATACCTTGGGGAGCGAGACCATGCTGAAACAACCCATCGATCCAAAATTTGACAGCCTGAAATGCTGGGCCGGAAAAGGTCACACGACGGTGTCAGGCGGGTGTCGGGAATGTCGCTACTCTATGATCTGTACTCTCCAGTTCCACCCAGTTCCCATGCTTGCCCAGATCGGTACCTCGTGGGCGTTTGCAACTTGAGGCCTTGGATGCCATGCGATGTCATGCGATGCCATGAGTTTTTGCTGACCGCCAGAGTTCTGCTGAGCCGCGGACTTCAAACACTTCGGCCTTTCTTGTTGAAGGCTCTACGATAATGCGGACCTCAAGTGCTAGAATGAACCAGTATGTATGCTTGCTGCACACTTGGTCGATTAGGAAGTTGGACATCCTGGGAATCCTGTCCAATCAGCATCGAGCCAATGGAATGAAAGGACGGTCAGATTTCTCAACATAAAACGTTGTTAGTATTCTTCTCTGCATTTGCTTCTGAGCAACTACAGTGGTCAATGACAAAAACTTCAGAACGCCATACAACTCAAAAGGACTCCACTTAGCAGGAAGTAGAGACAGATAAAGTGCATAGAACAGTAATTCATTGAACATCTTGAAACTTTAAAATAAAATTTCTCAACTTCATTGCAAAAACTCGACTCCTGCACGGTCTCAGTATGTCTTAGTCTGAGCCGGTGGCTGGCTGCACAAATGGCCTTAATCAACTAGGCAAACAAAGATGGGTGATGATGGGTGCTCATCTCTTCCGCCGAACAGATTCTCTTTTCTTCAACACGGAAACGTACAGTAGTGCTTGTGCCTTTCAGAGCACCTTGTAATCTGGGACTCAGAATAGAACGCCCTTCTGCAGCTGTGCATTTCAAAACCCTTCACTCATCTCTTCCCAGTGCACTTCTGGGTCCCATCGGGTCCCCAACCATCCTCGCCAGAGGATAATGCTCTGAAGCTGCAACGAGTTTCCTCCCCCATTCTGTCCATGGATTCCATGGATTCCATTGGAGTTTCGCGCTGGGAGCATCCAAAAGGATCCAAAAGGGTAAACAAAAACATCCTGATTAGTCAAAGGAAGTTTAGTGGGAGAAACTTCCGTGTTACGGACTTTTAGAATGTCAGGGAAAGAGTTAGTCAAAGAAAGAGTTAGTCAAAGAAAGAGTTAGTCAAAGAAACAGTTAGTCAAAGAAAGAGTTAGTCAAAGAAACAGTTAGTCAAAGAAAGAGTTAGTCAAAGAAAGAGTTAGTCAAAGAAACAGTTAGTCAAAGAAAGAGTTAGTCAAAGAAAGAGTTAGTTAAAGAAACAGTTAGTCAAAGAAAGAGTTCGTCAAAGAAAGAGTTCGTCAAAGAAACAGTTAGTCAAAGAAACAGTTAGTCAAAGAAACAGTTAGTCAAAGAAAGAGTTCGTCAAAGAAAGAGTTCGTCAAAGAAAGAGTTAGTCAAAGAAAGAGTTAGTCAAAGAAAGAGTTAGTCAAAGAAACAGTTAGTCAAAGAAAGAGTTAGTCAAAGAAAGAGTTAGTCAAAGAAAGAGTTCGTCAAAGAAAGAGTTAGTCAGGAAAGAGTTAGTCAAAGAAAGAGTTAGTCAAAGAAACAGTTAGTCAAAGAAAGAGTTAGTCAAAGAAAGAGTTAGTCAGGGAAAGAGTTAATCAAAGAAAGAGTTAGTCAAAGAAACAGTTAGTCAGAGAAAGAGTTAGTCAGGGAAAGAGTTAGTCAAAGAAAGAGTTAGTCAAAGAAAAAGTTAATCAAAGAAAGAGTTAGTCAAAGAAAGAGTTAGTCAAAGACAGAGTTAGTCAGGATATATGAGGTAGTCAAAGAAAGAGTTAGCAAAGAAAGAGTTCGTCAGGGAGAGAGTTAGTCAAAGAAAGAGTTAGTTAGGGCATTGATTGTTCCCGCAATGCAAATGGGATTGCAAGTGGTGCTGGTGGATGAGTTGCCGATGGAGTTTTGAAGGAAGTCTCGCACGAAATGCGTTTTTGAGAGATAGCAGATGCACGAAAGCCTATGTTTTTCCATACAAAGTCCGTCCCCGAACGTCGATGATCTACCTCTGCGGTGCGACGGTTGCGAGACGGTCTCGTGTGTGGTCGGA